CCTTGTCAGCCCGAATGCTGTTCTTTTTTAGGGATGGTTATTGGCAAGAAGCCGCGCCCACGTCTGAATTCTTTTACGCTTTTCTGAACCCACACATGGTGGTTGCCTCGTTTTGTCTCGGACTCTTGGTCGCATGGGTTGAAACCGGGAAAGTAATTTAAATATAAACCTAATTTTTGGATCTTATATTAAGGATTCGACAGGCCCTAGCGAACGCTCTCAGTTTCTGAAGGAGTTCATGTTTTGGGTAAGCGTCGCGAAATCGGTTTCAACAGGGATTCGGAATTCGAATTCAATAAGATTATTTAAGATACCAGCGCTGACCAGGGTTTAAAACCCAAACCAGGGTTGACAAGCCGCTACGCGGCTTTTCCCTGCGGCCACTTTGCTACCCAGGCACTATGCAGATAATAATTTTCAAAAATCTTAAGATTTGCGTGAACGCATGAAATACAAAACATGAACGCCACAAGAAATACGTGAACAACCGACTTCGAGCCACACAAATCCCAGAATGAGCTGAATTAATACTCGTATGCAGGGGCGTAGCCAGAATTAAAAATTTCAGGCGCCCCGAAACAAATTTTGTAACAAAATCGATACTTTAACGAAAAAACAGCGCCGATTTTTGGGAAAGCAAAATCATAAGGGTCCCTCCCCCCCAATGAACTTTTCGTTCAGGGGGGGGCGACGTTACGCTACGTCCCTGCTCGTATGGATGTTTGTTTCCATATTTTTTTAAAACGTTACAATAAGGTATAAAACGCAATTTTAGTAAAAACCAGGGTTGAAAAGCCGCTACGCGGCTTTTCACCCCTGGCCTTCGCGCACGGAACTCTTCGAGCGAAGAGCGTGAGCGAACCCAAAAACGGTAAAAGCAACCGGCCGCTAGCGCGACAAAATTCGAAATGAGCCTCTTAGCGCCTCGTATGCAAATCAGGATCTTTCCAATGGTTTTAAAATAGCTAAAATAAGGTATAAATCAATATTTTATTAAAAAACTGATAAGCTTGCAGTAATCTACGCCCTCGACCACCCCTAAATACTTTTCGACTGGGTCCTAAAATTGGTCCCCCTTCCCGATATCTTGGTAACCCGGTTTTTTTGAGCCATTTATGCAAAGTGTCCACACACACACACGAACTATTTTTTTTATATACCAAGGTTGAAAAGCCGCTTCGCGACTTTTCAACCCTGGCCCCGTCTTACCCTAATACTTCATCACTTTGCTTAAACATCTGAATTCCTGTGCAGAAAAATGAAAAGCGCGTCCTCTCCCCCATTATATAGGCTTCCCCCCCTTCCGGTGCATGCTAATTGATTCCTAACAAAGAGGTCGAGTTAGATTTTCACAAAACCTTAATTTTAATATCGAAAACAGCTGAATTTTAAAAATCTCATATGCGTGCAGTAGTGTCATGACTATTACGCATCTAATGACGTATCATACGTACCTTTAACTTCCTCCCCTAGTGAGATGCGACTGGAACATACGGACGGAAGTTGCATGCAAATGCACACACACACACACACAGACACTATTTTTTTATATATAGTAGGATCTAATAAGCGTGCAGCAGTAGGGTACGCCCGCGATTACCGCTAATTACCTACTTTCTGAACCAAAAAATCCTTTCCCCCTCGCTTTATGACCGGGATCCGGGTTATTATGCAAACTGCCTACGCACATCGACGCTATTTTGTATATATAGTAAGATGCATTATACCGTATCTAGTACTCGATGGCGTGTTTCTGGCGGCTCCTCGCGATGATATCAAAGTCAATACTCGATATAGATGATCTATTATATAATCTGACTCTTTTCTCTTCTTCGACCTCCGAATCTGCGAGCCTTTTCTATTTTATTTTCGATACAGCCATTGACGCCGTGGCAAATTTGGGAGCGAGGTATCTGAAACGATCAGTGTCTGAACAAAATTTAGCTTGTCCCTGGTGGTGGCCGTGTGGTTCAGTAAATGAAACAAGACGCGAACCAAGTCTACCTTATATTTTCGCGTGTATCTTTGTGTGTGTTGTCAGTTTTGAGGTCGGATTGGAGGAGCTTCCCTTGTCTAAAATACCCTAATTCTTCGTCACTTGTAGGGAATCCCCTTTTGTTCGTTCTCAGAATTCTCATAAAATACAAGTTTACAAAGTTAAAGCTGGTTTTATTTTCGTCTTTTTATTGCACTGAGGCGCGGCGCCAGTTGAAAATTCTCCATTTTCTTGTTGTCCGCTTGTCTGGCGCGGATCGCCGCATAAACAAGATGACGATGATCCTGACACTGGTAGCCTCATAGTACAGACTGCAACTCACGACATCCACATCTGGGCCACTCCGTGCACCTTATTCCAATGGTAGGAGGCCATCCATACGTAATGCACTAGTATCAAGCGAAAATCGCTCATGCTATCTGTGTGGAAGGTTAGGGTGGGGATGATTTGGACAAGATGTGTTGTGATGGCCCGAAAAATAAGGTATGGAGTGCCAAGACGAAGAATTTACCATGGTCGATAGCCGGAGGTCAGCGCTCGATTTTTGATCGTTGACGGGGCGATGGCGTTTCGAAAATTTCGTAATTTTTTGATAGTAGGATTTTGAATTTTTAAGCTCCGGTTTACCTTATGCTTAGGAGTAGGCTCAGGTATAGCTTTTACTTAGGCTCAGGTTCACTTTAGCTAACGCTTAGGATGATAGCTTATGCTAGGGCTTAGGCTCAGGTTTAGCTTAAGCTGAGGTTTAGTAGGCCCATACCAAGATACGTAATTTCAGATAAACACAGACATCGGCGATGATGCTCACAATCGAGGCATGCACATAAGCACGGTCCAGGAAATGCCCAAAGTTGTACTGAAACGCCTACTTTTATCAAGCTATTTTCAAATCCTTTGTCTTCTAGGTTTTCACATTTTTTGGCTTTAATCCCCGCACTGGTTATTTTAATACCTGGAAAGCATCGAGATGGATCCGATTAGGAGACCATCCACTTTGAAGAAACAGCACTTGAGCGTCATAGTCAATATATGGGCCCGAGTCGACCCAAAATGTTTCTTTGCCCTCCTTCCACCAATTGCCGCCAATGGCCGTGCCGTACATGGCCATTGTCCCGGATAGTGAGATGATTATTAGCGGAATCGCCAATTTTTGAACGTTATGGTAGTAAATGCCATCGAAGTAGATTGCAAAAACACTGCAAATGGTGAGCATGACTATGATGAGAAGATTCAGAGCCTGCTAAAATTCAGTTTGGATCCGCGACGCAAGCGCGACGCGCCCATCGGCTAGCCGTTGACGATTCTGGTCCAAACAAACAAAAAAAAAATACCGGTTCACCGAAAGCCCGAGCTCTAAAAAGACAGTCGTCCTATTTGTGATCAGGTAGAGTGTGGCCACGACAATATTTGTTGGTGTCGGCAGGATATATCCCGAAATAAGCTTCCAGCAATTTTTTCTGCAATTTTTCTACTCCATAAAATCTGAAAACTTGCCGATGCGTACACATAGCAAAGAAGCTGCGTAATATGGCGCTAGCAAGGCGTAGGATCGCGAGGGCCACCATCAGTATCCGCACGGAAAATGCTAAGCCGGATTTTCTCAGGATGACGACAACTGCATAGACGTGTATAGGGATCGCAAATAATGTCAGCTGGAAAGAAGCTTGAAAACACTAAAAAATGCCAATACCTACCCCAGCAATCGGGAAGAAAAATGTATAACGCATCCGAGGGCCCGTATCGTTAATTTTAGCCATTTATAGAATTCCAGAATCGTTTCCCTTAATCTAAAGGTGTTGCAAGAAAAGTGAAAGTGAACTAAAGACCCAAACTTATTGGAAAAGTAATAAACAACGGCGGGAAAACGACCTTTTTCGAAGCGACATCAAAAAGCCACTTGCCTCCATTTCATACCCGCTCATTTTGTGTTTGACTTTAATAGGCAGCTTCTCGACTTCGTCGATAATCATTGGGCTACGAAAGCTATACCGTAATCAGTGCACAACAAGGGCTCCCCCTAGCACCCCAGAAATCGTGCATTTTCTATTTTTCATTTATTTTCTATTTCGTCTAGTTTTCAACACCTAGGGATGCCAAGCAAATACAGGGACATCCTGGGACTCACTAAGGATTATAATCTAGAATCGAGGCGGCTGTTCGAAAAAAATCATAATCGTCTGAATAGAAAGCTTGACAAGGCTGTCAACCCTTTTCTCTTGACGGTAAATTTTATTTTATTTTATTTTAAAGGAGGGAGCAAACAAAGCAACTCTTGTCTCCCAGATCGGCACCTTACAATGCTTCGTCGCGCTGTTATTCTCTTTAGCGCTGTTATTCCGCCGGGCTCTTCTTCAGCGTCATCATTATTTTCTGATACCGTATTCGATAGGAAGTTTATACGATGGACTCATACGATTTTATCAACTTCGCTGCAATTCCGAGTGGGCTCTCTTTCGTTCACTTACTTTCAAACTTACCCTCTAACCAGCATTGTACGTCTAACGATATGGTATATTTAGTTGGTTTTGCCACACGGCAGGCTTCAATATCTATGTAAACCTTTATGTGACCGACATGCATGTTGTGGTGATGAAATGGTTTTGGTTGTTACGCTTTGGGATCCTGATCGAAAGGTGTGTTTCTGGCGCTAAACATAATACTTTTTAAGGGGGTTAACGATCGGATACGAAGAATATTATAGCAGAGGCGCGAAAATATTTACAGTTCTTTGGATATTGATGGCCGTTGTAATACCAATAATCAGCAACATGACATTTATTGGGTATGGCTATACCTGGGAAAGTGAGTTGAAAAGACCAATCGCATCGCGCTGTGGATGGCTATATTTTTATCATTTCTCGTCCGTTTGGAGTCATGCTTTTTACACCTTTCAGCCATCGATCACAAAAGTTACTACGGTTGGGCCTACTTTCCAACGACATACTCTGAAAAGACAGTGTACGCTGCAGAACGGAACGTACAGGGAGATTTTATATTTTTAGGGATGGTTATTCGTCGCAAGAAAGGGTACTCACCGAATTCTTTTTTTGATCTGGTAAAGCCACATATGGTGATCGTATCCTTTTGTCTCGGCATCTTGGTCACGTGGTTTCAAATGAGAAAGGTAACTAGATGTTCAGCTAATCCCAGTTTCATTTAGCAATCGACCGATGAACGATTCGCGACCAGTTTTATGCTTTGGGTAAGCTCGAACTGTAAAGTTTCCAGCCGAAGTAGAAGTTATTTTAGTACTGTATGGCATGTCTTTGGCCGTTTCTGACCGTGATCGTAAAGACGATACTCGACACGGAGGGCCTACTTTATGATATGGCAGGCTCTGAACGTTTCTTCGATTTCATTTTCGACACGGCTATTGATGCGGTGGCGAATCTTGGAACAAGGTATGAGAAATTGAACATTGTAAGATCTGGTCCAATTTAGCATGTGCTTCGTCGTTGCCGTGTGGCATAGTAAGCGACAGCATATGTGACTCTATCATGAATAAATCAGTTAACTTGTATTTATCCAGGTGCCACGGATTCTGAGTTTCGACATTAATATCATTTTCTACCAAATCACTACAACCGTCTTGTGTGATTACTTGATTAAACAATTCGCGTTAATACGTTTCAAAGATGACAAATCGTAAGCAAGGCAGCTAATTTTTATGGATTGGAATAACATGCAATTTGTTCTGATAAAGAATGCTGACGTGGCGCGTCGTTTAGGTGAATTGTGTCTCGGAATTGCCTTTATTGGAACCGCTTCCGGCCTAATGTTTGAGATAACGATTCGCTTAAAATGGCGGGGAGGTGTGCGGAGGAGCCAAATTTTGCTCCCAAATTGCCGCGGTGTTTTGTAGCTTTGATATGGCTTGAAATCAATATAACTCTTTCGAAAATATTATTTTCAGGTTATGGCTTTGGCATTAAAATCAAAATAGCTGTTTTCAGGGATACCTGTACACAAAATATAGCTAATGCTTTTGCAGAAATGCACCTTAATCTCCTACTAACAGCATTGGCTGTGACGAATCACACGCTGCATACCGATACAGAGGCTGGACAAGCTCAATGCTATGACAGCGCGGCAGTCAATAGCTGGAAACTGTCTTCAAAGGTTGTGTCTGCGTATTTATGCGTAATCTCGTATGCTTAGGCATATAAAGCTGATTGTCCTGACACGGACAGCGGCTACTGCTATAAATTTGCCGCAAAAGTGAGATGCATAATTTCAAAACCTGCGAAAAAAAACTTTAGAACTTTGCGGTGTGGGGATGTCCGTCCGATTATGCAAACGGCGACCAGGCGCCATGTAAGGTACGGTTTAGACTATACTCTGACATACCCCCAGGGGGTATACCCCCCATGGGGGTACAAAAGGGGTACGAGGTGGGGGTACAAAGGGGGTACGGGGTGGGGGTACAAAGGGGGTACGGGTGGGGGTACAAATGGGGGTACCCCCCCCGGGAAAACTTGATTCCGCCTATTTGCATCTCGCCTACTGCTATTTCGCCTCCTCTTATTCCGCCTACATCTTATTTCGCCTACATATTATTTCGCCTACATCTTATTTCGCCTACATCTTATTCCGCCTACATATTATTTCGCCTACATCTTATTTCGCCTAAATCTTATTTCGCCTAAATCTTATTTCGCCTACATCTTATTTCGCCTAAATCTTATTTCGCCTACATCTTATTTCGGATACATCTCTCCTGTCGCTTAATTTTTTCCAAGCTTTATTTTCACTTGCGAGCGCGATTCCGCCGCCCGTATTATTTCGTCGCCTCCGTGTTTTCCCAGGTAATTCCGAAATTTATTCGAAAGGCAAGTCATAGGCATGGCATGGCAATCACAACACACTGGGGCTTAAGTGATGAAAATAATCCAAGGGCTAGTTGAACAATAGTAGTAGGCGAGATGCAAATAGGCGGGATGACATGCAATCCCCCCGGGAAAACTTGATTCCGCCTATTTGCATCTCGCCTACTGCTATTTCGCCTCCTCTTATTCCGCCTACATCTTATTCATGATAGGCGGAATAAGATGAGACAGACATGACGAGATGCAAATAGGCGGGATGACATGCAATCCCCCCCCCCCCAGCAGCCTAGCAAATTTTTCTCTAGCGACCCCCCACACATACCACATGTCGGTGGTTCGCAAAAATACAACAAGAAATGACGAATTCAGCTGGAATTGTATCAAGGCAGTTAATAAAATAACAAATTTGAACTAAACATTTTTTTTAAGTTGAAAGTTTATCGGGGGACCAAACTTTTTGAAATAAACCCAGAAACCCCTGGTAACGTTATAGTAAGAGTTTCAATAATTTTTTTAGTAAAATTCAGACATGTTTTAAGTGGCAAAAATTACAAAAATTTAAAAAATGTTTAGTTCAAGTTTCTTATTTTATTAACTGCCTTGGTGAAATTCCGGCGGACTTCGTCATTCCTCTTTGAATTTTTTGCGAGCCACCGATATGTGGTATGTGTGGGAGGTCACTAGAAAAAGTTTGTTGGGTTGCTGGGGGGTGGGGGGGGTGGGGGGGTGGGGGGTGGGGGGGGGGGGGGGTAGGGGGTGGGGGTACCCCTTTGTACCCCCACCCCGTACCCCCTTTGTACCCCCACCTCGTACCCCTTTTGTACCCCCATGGGGGGTATACCCCCTGGGGGTATGGCAGAGTATAGTTTAGACTCTAAAGTGAAACTTACTCAAACTGCTTGAAAAGCTTTTTTTTAGTCGGACGGCTCCTACGATTACACGATGGAAATAGACAATGGTGACCCCATCAAAGGAAAAGCATATTGCTGCAAGGGTAATTTGTGCAACTCGGCTCCGGCTGGCCAGGGATTCTTTGCCCTAACTCTTTCCTTCTCTCTATATCTGATCGTTTTCCGATAATAAAACATTTTTTAAGTTACTATATACGCTCCATCAGCTAATGCACCGGTTACAAAATTCAAATCATGCTAAAGCGCAGCCTTTCAGTCAGAAAATGGCCCACGTTTCGTATCAAGGCTCAAGAAAGAACGTCATCTCCATAGACGTACTTGCGCCATTTTATTGAGCGTATCAACCTTTCAAACGTCGAGATCATCGCCTCCACTCCTCATGGCTATCTTAGAACATCGCGCATCATAAAGCGAAAGGTTGCGAAGAAAATGACGCATTGATATCCGGGGCCATCGTTTGAACCGGAAACATTCACGTACGAAAAGGTCCGGTTAGCGAGTCGTCATTTCTTGCACCGGCCCAAATTTGAGAAAAAGCGTAAATGGAAAAACTCATAAGTCAATGTAGAGAGTTAATGAAAACTAAAATCGATGGGGGAAAACAACTTTTGGCATGGGCTTAGGCTTAGGTCTAGACTTGGACTAAGGAATAGGCTTAGAGTAAGGCTTAGGCTTGGGCTCATGTTAGGCATGGGCTTAGGCTCAGGCTAACGACTCGATTGAATAGCCGTACTTGTTGTACATCCTGTCTTGGCTCTGAACTTGCCTCATCTTTCATGATCTAACCACCTCTAAGCGGTGACTAAGCGTTGAATAAAAATCTTATCGGTTTCTATTTGCAGGCCCTGGACGTCGTTGGCGTAAGAAAGATGTTAAATTTAGGAGTATAAAAAGGACGGAGGGCCGTGTCCCTCCATTCCATCGACACGGTACGCCACGCCGTACTTTTTTCAGTTTCTAACTTCTTAAGCCACCTTGTCATTTATTTCTTTTCAGAATTTTCTAGATGTGTCTTCGACGTGCGGGCCAGTGCATCGAGTTTGGACGTGGAGGGCGGGATTGACAAATGCGAGAGTAGCGACAAGTACTGCGCCAATGTTTGGATTCTACACTCTTACCCATACCTCACATTCTGTAGATTGACTTCAACGGGATCAAGGCTAAGGGATGCTCCAGGACGGCGTTGAAAATTCACGGAGACGGTCTGCCTACATTTGTTTGCGATCAGGTGATTTTAGATGTGGAAAACCTAATTAAAAGTATTCTTGCAGGCCGGATGCAACGCTCAAAAGACGCTTTGCTGTTGCGAGGGCAATAAATGCAATGGAGCCACCGGTATCTCGGCATTACTGTCACTGCTGTCTTTTGGCGCTGTGTGGCTTTTCATGAAAAAGTGATGAAGCTCCGAAGCTTTGAAGCTTGACCTTAACTTTCAACCTGTTCTTTGTCTTGCTTTAATTTTCATCGCACGCTGCCATAAATTGTTGATCTAAAATTGAATTCCACATTCATACCATTATCGAACCTTCAAAATCCAGGACACGTTTGGCAAGCGAAAGGGTCATCTCTGGTCTCTGGTATCAACCAAGCACATAAAAGTACGCAAGGATCCAAAAAGTCGTAAAGCAGGCCGATGGTCTGTGCACATAAAGGGTTCAAAGCTGGTTGGAAAAGCAGAGAAAGTGCGGCCTTGCCTAGACTTAGGTTAGGCTTGTGCTTAAGCTTACAGGATAGCTATCGTTTCTCTCAACTGCCAAATGTTGCCAAGAAAAAGTCGTTGCGCGTGGACAACCTTTGGTCCGAAAAGAAGCGGTTCCCTAGAGGCCGGCATTTCGTCTTCAAAACCCCATTGTTTTGGCCAAATGCACAAGAGTTGGGTTGACGTTGGTGCTATTTTAGCCGAAAATTTCGATGTCTATTCTCTGGTAATGCTCATTGCCCTGTTGTATTTGCTCGGAACCCGGAACTTAATTCCCCGTCCCCGCACTTTCCCAATTTCCCGAAAACTGTAGTTGCCCTGCCGAGGGATGGGTGCTGCCAAAAAAAGTCGGAAACAGCTGGAAACCCGTCGTCCTCGTGGGGGTGCAGTCTCGTGGATGATTGGAATTGATTGTTGAACTGACCGTCTCGGGGATGTAAACAGTTGTGATTCGTCACCATAGAGTTACTCATTTTACCTAAAAACCCGGTGAATGATTTTCTTCCATGAACTGCATGCTTTCAAGGTTTCTTTCTCTCATGCTAACTGACCCTTCTTTTCCAAGAACTTAGTCATAAATAGAATTCCCGCACGGAGGTATCTATCTCTCTTGCTCTCTCTCACTCTCGCTCTCTCGCTCTCTCTCTCTCTCTCTCTCTCTCTCTCTCTCTCTCTCTCTCTCTCTCTCTCTCTTGCACTCTCTCTCTGTCTCTCTTACTCGCTCTCTTCACGAGCTAGGTTTTGTTTAGATTCAAAACTGCTAATTTTCCAAGTATTCGGTGTTAAAGCAAATTTGAACCTACCATCGTATCTATCCCCATTACGGATCTCTTTCGCTCTCTCTCCTCGATCTCTCTCTAGTCCTCCCTCTTTCTCTCTCTCTTTCTCTCTCTCTTTCTCTCTCTCTCTTCCCTTCAAAATTTCCCCATCTACAGTCACCCGGCTGACGCGATTTCCCTCAAAATTAGGCCCTTTTAACCTTGAATCAGCTGTCCTTGAGCAGTTTTGTTGCTCAATCCAGCGGTGCCCCAAATCGTCGTCCACAGGTGTGGTTCGGACCTTTTTGCGGCTGGAATTTCGCGATTCGGCCCGCAGAAAAATGGTCCTCCTCTTTACCGTGTGCCTCCGCTTACCCAAATATTGTGAAGTGAATTCGCGCGCGCCCCTGATGTTTGAGGGTCGTTCAGTTGAAATGTCACTGTCCTCTGGTCTGCCAAATAATTTAAAGGGACTTTGAAGTCTGAAGAATTGGGAGTATTGCCCAAGTTTTGCTACGACAACCCATTGTTTAATTTAACTTTATTGTCCGCCGCTTCTTTTTTACGATTTTGGGCATTGCGGAGAGGCGTTCTTTTCATGTGTTTCTCTCGAAGCATTTGTAGACACCAGTTTTTAGAATATTTTGGTAGAATCAGCCATCTAAATCGGTTATTCAAAATTGGTTTTCTTTTACTTATAAGTATAGTAATTTTATCGCGCTATACCTGGTGTCCCTGCGCATTTTTCTATAACATCCAATTATTTACTTTTTAAAAAAATATGCATTCCTATTTTGCCTTATAATTTTTATAGTACCTCCTTGTTTTGCTGGCTGTGCTAGTGGCAATCTGGTGACCTCTCGCACATTATGACCTAGCGCCGAGGCAAGTTTTTGGCGCCAAAACGAACAAAACCGAACGAACGGGTGGTTATTTAAAAAACGTAGGAATTACTACAAAAGTTGCTAGAGCATCAAAACAACAATACAAGATCCCTGCACTGGAAAATATCCGATTTAAATCAAAACGATGAAAATTCATTTTCAAACTAAAATTGAGGGTTCTCATATTAGGAAATAAGAATAATTCAAAATCAGCATGTTTTAATTCTGATTTCCCTGTTCCTTTAAAACTGTGGAATAATCAAAATGTGTTACGTACCCTTCCCCAAATCAGAAGTTATACTAAAGTTAGTTCTATTTAGTGCTAATTCCAAGTCCGAACCTCAACCCAATTTTCGATATTGTGATAAAATCATTATGCCCAACGGAATTTTCCGTAGACTTTCAAACTGACAATTAAAACTTCGGATCTTTGGTTCTTTCAACGCCTAGTAGGGTTTATGAGGAGGATGCGACCCGTTATTTCACTGTTACCAGGGTTGAAAAGCCGCTTCGCGACTTTTCAACCCTGGCCCCGTCCAACCCTATCAGATTCTTCACTCTGCATACGCCTTTCGATTTTCGATGAGAAAAATGAAAAAATGCCACTCTCTCGGTTATATATAGGCCGCCGCAACTTCCGGCGTATGCTAATTATTTCCTAACAAAGAAGGCCGCCCGATTTTTCAACAAAAACTTAAATTTAATGTCGGAAACAGCTGAATTTGTAAAAACTGATATTGGTGCAGTCATCTCCAGACCATTACGCATCTAATGACGTATCAAACATACCTTAAAAACCTTCCCTTTCCGAGATATCCTCCGGACAGAATGACGGAAGTTGCATGCAAAGTGGCACGGACACACACACAGACACTATTTTTTTTATATATAGTAGGATCCTTCGGGATCAATACGACCACAAGACCTATATTCCAGTTTTTCAACCAAAACAGAGATTCTGAATGAAATTTTTTGTAGATTTCAGAACGAGAAATTAAAAATGACAAATGTTTCTCTGCTTCCCCTTCCAGTCGCGTTTTATGGGTGGGGAATTATGTGGCCTATTAATGCCGATATCTGGTCCTAGGTAGCTCTAGGGGTACTCCGACCCCCGATACATATGGGATGTTATAGAAGCTTCGTATTCGCGCCAGAAACGATAGAGCACGACCTTTTAGAGGGTAGTGGCATAACCTAGGAGAGAGACCCTCATCCCTATTGGAGTGCCGAGGCGGCTAGGCTGACCCGGTTGGGGGTTCTATGGAGCCTCGCTGGCCCCAACCCTCTAGCTATGTATCTAGGCGTACTCTAGGTGGTATTTACTGTAGTTTTCGATGTATAGTATCGCTTCTGGCCTTTGGCTAAGATCAATGTGTAGTATCTGTTCTTATCGGTTCAGTACGAAAAGCACTTGATCTTAACGGGGAGACCTCATTTCGGCTGCTCATCGGTTTATCGCCCTTGACATCGACTTGAGACAGACTACCGAGCCAAATTGGACCACTCGATTACCGTCACTTCAACCACAACGCCAACCAAGATGGCCCAAGAACGACCGCCCTGCCGACGCCAGAAGCCGATCCCCGGACGCCATCTACCGCGCCGGGCTGAAGGATGTGGCTGCGCCCATTTCGCCGGACTCGTCGGAGTGCCGCCCGTTGTCGTCTCCGGTGCGGAGACTCGCGGCAGATAGTGCTGGTGCCGAAGCCTGGGCGTGCCATCGCCCTAAACCCTACCAGATGTGCCGTCCGTGCCGAAGCCCGTCAAGCATGAAGCTGAAGCGCCCCTCGCCGCCATCGCCATGGTCCCCTGTACTGGCCTCTGCTCATTAAACCTGCCTGATGCAAGCCGACAGAGCCGGAAGCGAGAAGGAGTCGTCGACCGCCGTGCTGTGCCGTCAGACCCGGACAAGTGCAACTACAACCCCAAGCCCATCATCATGCTCAAGAAGGAAGGATGCCTGCTCATCTACAAGCTGCCCGAAGACACAAGCCCGTGCTGTTCCTGGACTGTTCGAGTGTTTGACCTGTCGTCGTAGCCGGTGCTGTGACCCAGCCATCGTCATGGCTCTCTGTACTGGCCTCTGCTCATTAAACCCTGCCTGATGCAAGCCGACAGAACCAGAAGCGAGAAGGATGCGTCGACCGTCAATTTGTACCGTCTGCCCAAGCTCAAGCCGTGCCCGTGTTCCACTGCAATGCGCCTTCATCGACAAACTCTGCCCGAAGACACAAGCCCTGCTGTTCCTGGACTGTTCGAGTGTTTGACCTGTCGTCGCAGCCGGTGCTGTGACTCACTCACAGCCATCGTCATGGCTCTCTGTACTGGCCTCTGCTCATTTAACCCTGCCTGATGCAAGCCGACAGAACCAGAAGCGAGAAGGATGCGTCGACCGTCAATTTGTACCGTCTGACCAAGCTCAACCCGTGCCCGTGTTCCACTGCAATGCGCCTTCGCCGACAAGTTCTGCAATGCGCCTTCATCGACAAGCTCTGCAATGCGCCTTCATCGACAAGCTCTGCAATGCGCCATCTCTCCAAGAATTGACATGAACCCCGTCCCGGGTAAATACATTCCGCCCCCGTGTCACGGGCTCCCGGAATTTCCATCTCAAATTCCACGTTGTGCTCTATGCCCACCCTTTCAACTCTACAATCATTTGTGATATAAGAGTTCATCATTCACACCTCAAATTTGACTGTAACCTTCCCAAATTGGCGTTTACCCGTCAATCCTATATTCCCTTTTTAACCGCGCATATGACTACTGTATTTCCGGCCCTCGGGCCGAGCATGTACTGATAAATTTAAATCTGTTCTTATCGGCTTAATCTCCGGTACGTGTTCTATTGAACACATCGAGATTAACATATTTTTGGAAATGGTACGGTTCGCAGAAGCTTGCTTCTCGCCGTACAGCGTCGGCCCGGTATTGCACCTACCGCCGGGAACGGCGCACACCCCACATGGGGTGAACAATATTTTAAAAAGAAAGAGCGTGAAAAACTGTATACGGTATGTATTTTTAGTAAAAATTGATATTATAGGTCATTTGGGGTAAAACGGCCCTGGACGGTTTGGGTGGGGTTGCGAGTTCTAAGGCGAGTTAGGGGGTTTTCTGGGTTGTTCAAAACGCTGTTTTTATTGCAGCAATGAATAGAGCTTCCAAAATTACATAGGCTATGCACTTTTAATCAAACTCGGTACTGTAGGCGATATGAGGTAAAAATTGCGATTCCAGGTCGTGAGACACCCAAGATTCCAAAAATCCATATGTGACACCCTGGGTATCTCCAAATCCGCATTGAACTGTAGAAATTAGATTCATCTGAAAAAATTATGGAAAGTGTACAGTTCTAGAAAATTCGAAATTTTGTCGAAAAATTGCTTGTCGAAGTACTGTAGGGCCAGGCTATACCTACAGTAGTTACGGTACATCCGTAGGTCAGAAGATACCTGCTCTCAGAGGCACCCCAGATGTTTTCTAAATTCAGAACCAAGGCAAAATCAAAAAACAATAATATCTCTACGTTTTTGTATGCATTGAAGTTCCAAAAAAATATTGAATTAAAAACATAGAAAATATGATTATTTTGCGTGCAAGGGTTCTTACCTGCGCGGAGGAACACGAAATATAGTTACAAAAATTTCCAAAAAAATTGCAGTATCACGGCCGATTCTCAAATTCAGAAATTCGGTTCTAACCGCAACTCCAAAATCAGCTCCTTCGTTCTGGGAATCCCCGAAAATGTTACTTTTCGATTTTACAGCTCATAACTCCAAAATTCTCCCTTACGTACAGTTGACTGCAATTTTTCATTCGCGCCTCTCCCTTCAGAAAGTTCAACCAGAAAAGCCTCCTTTAGAGATCGCCCTCGGCTCTACTGGCCACGATGTCGAGAATCCCCTGGGATGAGAAAGGTTTGTCTTTAGCCTTGGATGTATGGCCGCCTACTCTCGATTCCTTTTTTCAAAACGATGCCGGCCTTTGTGGGATGTCCAAAAATAGCGTAGCGTTTCGGAAAAGGGGGTGTAGCGTAGCAAATACCTACTGGAAATCTGAGCGAGGGAGAGAGAGCGAGCGAGCGAGCGAGCGAGAGAGACAGGGGAGAGAGAGAGAGTGCCAGAGATAATTATAATTAGGGAAGATTTGTGAAGAGATTTGCATCCAACTAATGGGTTGATTATCGTATACTTCCCGGTCCGCCATCCCATTTGGACACCTGTCAACCATTCACGGGCCTTGCCCCACTCTTTATGAGCGTTCCGATCGCAGCCGGGTCATCTGCCTCATTGGCTCAGTGGCAGAGCGTCTGTCTAGTAAACAGAAGGTCGCTGGTTCGATTCCAGCATGAGGCACCAACTTTTTGCACTTTGCCTGGGTTGCTTAGGCTGCCACTGCCTCCAACTGTGGGTGTCGAGGTCGTACCAAGCCCATCTTGTGCAGAATTTCAGGCTGAAGATGCATCCTTTTTTGATTTTCCCGGCGGTCATAGCAAGTTACAGCATATCTTTCGACGCAATATTTCCGGAACCGGGCGGTAGAGGCCCTTTTTGCAAAACGGAACAGTGGATATGGCACAGAAAAATATGCTGCTTCGCATAGCCAGCTCATTTTCGCAGAGGCTTCTCGTAATTTGCAAAATTGCAATAATTTTACAAGGTCTAAAGACTTTATTCCCACACACTGCCTAGATACACTTTCCAAATTTCAGTTCGTCGGCCACCCAGTAACAGTAATCCTATTAGGCTGCGAGGAAAAACAGGGTTTTGAAGGGGGTGAGGGTGGGCCCTAATCCAATCTGTTTCCCCTGTTTTCCCTCTTTTTGCCTGCTGTGGCCATACATGGAAAGGAGGGCTTTTCCCCCGCTGGTGAGAAATTGGGCCCTGTGGCCCCGGGGAATGGGGCGTGAAATAGGGCGGGGGTGGGCGGGTCCGCAGACCCTGCCGCGACCCGCCGGTTTCATGCTCCAGAGCTCAAACCCGAGCATAAACACTATATTCCGTTAAACACGACCTTACACGCTGTAAGATACAATGATCGCCTCGGAATTACCGCCACAACTGCTATGCCAGAGATACGTGCTGAACGATACACGTGAGTAAAAATTTGGGTTTTTGTTGCCGGCGAGGAGCGGGTGAGGGGAAGATTTCTTTTGCACTCGTTCATAAAAATGTGTTTTCGCTTCGTTTACTTTTTGATGGCCTAACGGATGACGTTAACGAATGCCAATAATCGCGAAGGTGCAGCCCCATTTTCAACAGATTACTTTCTTTTTGTATGACTATTTTCTGTACGTTATTTCAATCAGGAGACTTAAAATCTTAGTACATTCCTGATGTTCTGGTAAGTGCCCTTCAGAATTCCGAAGAAATATCGAAATATCGAAAATAAAGCGACATTATGGTGGAGTAAGGTGGTAAAGCAAGCTCTTGTCGATGGTTCGATTATCATAATTGACAGCGCACGTTTTTATAATTTACAAAGACGCATTTTGTTGCCCTGCGTAGTCAATATAATTTTAGAACAAATTTTTCCAGCTTCAACCCCCTGAAAGTTCATGCCAATTTGTCATCTGCCCAACCATAAGGTCCCCGAGGTCACAGCTGTTTCCCCCCGGCTTTTCCGTTCGCTGTTCTGTTGCGGCTGTCTTTCGCTAATATTTTCGAGCGGCGGGGGACACGGGTTTTTGTCGCCTTCTTTTTTTGCCCAACCACTAAGGAGCGGCCGAAATTGGAGCCAAAAGCGTCCGGTTCAAAGGCCGGAAGAGTCAAGGCATCGCTCGGTTGCCCTTCATAGCCCCCCTCTGTTTGGCCCACCGCCAATGCATAAACTATCGGAGTGTCGGGAGGGCTGTGGAGATAGTTGGCAGAAAACATGCAGCAATTCTGCAGGACTACGGGGTAGTGGATCGGAAATAGATGTGTTAAAATTAGTGCACCATAGGACATAGGACTACTTAGCTAAATTAAAAGGTTAAAAAAACCTTTACCCCGAGAACATGTCTCCGACCGCCCAACTGCCAACCCTGATGCCAACGGATTGACAGGCCCGCACGGGTGGGTGTACCCGAACCCTTATGACCTCGTCTCCACTCCAGTCGCTCGCCGCCCGGTTAGCTCAGTCGGTAGAGCACCAGACTCTTAATCTGGTTGTCGCGGGTTCGAGCCCCGCATTGGGCTTAGTTTTTACTTTTTGGGAGAACAGCTCCCTTTGAGGTTGTTGATCACCTACCATAGTTCAAACGACCTCCCTAACTTTCCCTTTGCGTTATTTTTGGTTTTTTCTCATTCATGACCCCACGTATCCCTTTCCACTCACCACACTTCAATACCCCGGCCCCTCCGCGCTTTGGGGTGCTTGGGAGAGGCTTTTTGAATAATGCATGGGGTCAACCCTTTCTCGACGCGCCGGAAAAGCCGCCTGGAGGGTAAATTTTTGGGCCCTCCGCGTTTCTTCCAGGCGACCCCCCGGAAATTGGGTTGAAGGCGTGCTGGAAACCATCACAACGAGGTGCACCCCAAAAAAAAACATTGAAACGCAGGCCGGGGGCCATTTTACTCTGCGCGGGAGGCAATTCTGTGAATGTGGAGGGCGTCGTTCTTTGGAGCGGCGGGTGATTTTTGGCCTGGAAATGGAATGACGGTGGTGTTCCTCTGGGTAGATGATTGCCGGAAACTGGATTAGAAGTCTTGGAAAAGAAGTTGACGTTCTGGCTTCCCCTTAGAAAATTTTTGCCAGAAAGACGAACCAGAAGGGAAAAATTTAGTTTTAGGGTTTCCCGCTTTTCCATAGTCCATTTCTTGGTCTCGTCAAGGCCTGAATGATCGATGTGCCTGCCACAATTGCCGCTTTTTCTGGCCTCGGGGTCGCATGTCCAAGAGCAATCTATCAAATCGTCAGCCCAGTTCGATCTCCAGATTCCATGAGGTTAAAAATGCAGTCCTTTTCAGGCCGGGGCAAAAAGTATCAATTTTTGTCAGGCCCAAACGCTCCGGCTAGTCTTTGTTAGCTGCTTCTTTTTACCGCAACCTCCTTCGGTTCTAATCCCCTAGCCTTCGCCCCAGAATGCGATGAGCCGTGCCGGAAAAGGGGCACCAGTAGAAGCCGGCGTGGGAAGCAGAAGATGCAGAAGAAGAAGAAGAAGCTAAAGAAGCGCTGAAATATTGGCCCCATCCACCCGGCCATCAAGCCGCCCGGACGAAGAGTCGGCAGATGAAGAAACGGGCACCTGCCGGGCTTTGGGTCCCCGGGGAAATCTGGATACGCCTCTGCTTCGGGTCTCCTCGTCGAAAAATCTGGGAAAAGCCGGGGGATTGATGGCGTGAACGTGGTTTTTTTGAAAGGATAAAGCGCGGGAAAGCCTTGAATACCCGGAAGGAATTCTTTAGCTATTTACGGTTAAAAGAAAGCAAGTAAATAATGGCTCTGGGATTTAAAGAACAGAAATATATTTAAATCAGAAAATTCGGGTAAATTATAAGATCTCGAAAAAGCAGAAAAGTGAAGAGGCGCTTCTTTGATGACGGATTTTGTTTTGGCGCAATCCTGTCAATCCGGGTGCCAATCGAGTCACAGCCCCTTGGCCTTTTCCATGCTATATGACCCCCACCCCACACCCACCTCCCGCCGCCCGGTTAGCTCAGTCGGTAGAGCACCAGACTCTTAATCTGGTTGTCGCGGGTTCGAGCCCCGCATTGGGCTTACTTTTTACTTTTTGCGTAAAGGTGCGGGCAATGGCTTTACGCATCCGTTTTTCGTCCTCCTCTTACCTCCAAAATGTTTTTTTGTGTGCAGTTGCATGACGTTTTGTCAAGATTTTCAAAAAGCTAGAGAATACTTTTCAAATAAAAAATCCTCTCAGAAAAAGCCCGTATTGTCTTTGCTGCAAAATTGCGGGGTGCCTGGCGCGGGAATACGTGTCTGGGTTAGCTGGAGGCGTTCGTTCGGGCGAAGCCCTAAGTGGCCCTCCGAAAGTAGGGGGCCCTGAAAAAATGGGGCCCGCTGTCGACCCCATATCATAGGCGACCATAGGCCACCGGCAGCAGGAGCAGCAGCTCCAATTTAGGATTGATGGCGTTGTTTTTGCAGAGGAGATACATACATCGTAGTTTCGCGGTGAAAAATTATCTGAAAAGAAATATCTAAAAAATTCCCCCATCTTCAGAGCTCCTCAAAGTGGGCTAGTTTCTTCATCCCTGGAAAACCAACCCAAAATATGAAATCATCCCACTTCTCGAGATCCAATATTCCAATGCATAGCTATAAACGAACGGCAGGCATCGAATTTCATCAAGAAACTCGAGCCATCTGTTGATTTGTGTGACTGCAGTCTTGGCCCGAGCCCCCACTATAAGAGCAAAGTATAGAAAAAATATTTTCCTTCAAATATTTACCGCTGCTCTCTCTCACTCGCTCACTCTACCAAGCAGAATATATGTAGATGAAACGCGCGGGGATCCCGAGCGGAAAATCGGCACCCCCTCTAGATGAGGGTGGTGGTCCATGGTCGGGGAAAGTGCAAAACAAAAAGTAGCTGAATGGGCTGGCTGGATAAAGCGTTCAACGCAACATTTGGTTTTAGAAATAATAGATAAAGAACAAAATTAATTACATATGATTTTTCAGAACTCTCCGAAACCTTTGACCTGCTCGATGTCGACCGTGATGGACAGCTATCACGTGCGGAAATTGCAGCCCTACTCAGGTAGACCCGACAAACATATACTACACGAGTCGCAATTTTTCTAAAACCCATTCACTTATTCCAGGACCGTAAAAGTCGAGCCGACGCGCATGGAGCTCGATTTCATCTTCGAGGAGATGGACACCAACAGTAAGCTTTTGAAATTGCTGTCAATTTCTGTCTGGGTTCTCGGATGCGCTTCCTAAACCATCGAAGAATCCCCTCAAAATATTTACTGACACATTGACAACAAATGGCCTAAACACGGGCTATTTCGAGATACTGGGGATTCCTGTTGCGCTGAATAGCTGTCTGATTGGGGGTATCGGGAGGGGAAGTAGCGGAAAAGTGGAGAAAAATCGACGACGTCGACAACAAAAAAGGGCATGCAAAATTTCGTCAGTGAAAGTTGCGGGCATGATAAGGGAAATCACGATTGCAGCATTGTGTTAGTTGAAATAAAAAAGTAAGTATTGCAAAAAGTAAATTAAGGAAATAACATACAGCTCGCAATTGTTCTCATCAAAGAAGGTTTAGAAATCGTTCTAATAGACCCGATTAACCCAGCAATTCTTCAGAAACCGGCAAGATCAATAAGGACGAATTCGTGCGTTACATGCGCTCCCCGCCCGTCCACCGCACAACCCTACAAGAAATGGAAAGCCAGTTCAAGGAATTCGACCGGGACGGTGACGGCGAGATCACCTACGGTTCGTTAAAAATCAGAAATTTATCGGCTAACATCTTATGGAATTTTTCAAACAATCCGCCTCGATTCTCAAAATCGGTTACCAGACTTCTTTTTCAACTTAACGCCAAAACCCAAAATCCGGGTCGCTAGATGTCCACGTGGACGCCCACATCTTTTCGCACAAACAAGCACAGCAAATCAACTGTCAATTTTCGAAAATCTGATTTTCCTCGTCGACGCGACGACCCCAATCTGGCCGTTTCAGGAAATTTAGGGCAATCCAATTTGGGGAAGACGCGCCGCGGCATGTAAACGTGGCTTTTCGCTGAGAAAAAAAAGAGTGCTGCCACCCTGGGGAATATGCAAATTTCGAAAACACTTTCAAAACGTGGCCAAAAACCTCATGTTTTCAGAGGAAATGCGTCGTATTCTGCAGGAATGCAGCGGGCTCGACGACGAGAAGGCGACACGTGAAATGTTCCAAGCTACCGACCGGAATGGCGATGGCCGAATCTCTTTCCTAGAATTTGTCGCAATGATGTCCGAGTAGATTAGCATTCTCTATTCTTCGAAACACTTCAAATACCAATATCAACGTTCTTTCGCAACGATTTTCCTTCGCAATCGCGTTGCCCAGTTTCCGAAACGCCCGTACGTCACTTCCCCAGAAACGTAACCACTCCGGATTTTTTGCTCTGCCACCAACACCTTTCCCAAATGTGCATACCTAATCATCACCCCGAAGCCGCTTCAACGAGTCCCACTCCCAAATCCGGTATATCCCCCGCGCGTGAGCTGTAGTTTCCCGCAGTCCCCAAAGTTCAGAGTTGAATAAACCGTTCATTTACTCGGATTGACTGGTGGGTGGGGGAACAAAGTGAAAGGCAGAAAATCAACAGAGATACAAAAAAACAATGAGATAAATATGGGGAGGGCAGCTTTATTCATCGCCGTCATCGCCATCATCCTCCTTCGCGAGGTTGCCGAACACGGCCTTCGGCACTTCTCGAACTTCTGAAAGCAAGCTTTGAGAAGAAGTGAAAGGTTAAATAAACCTGGCTCTGGCTCGTCCTCGTCCTCGTCCTCCTCATCATCATCGTCGCCATCATCGACGGCGATCTCTTCGGGGTTGTGGGTGGTTGCCTCGACGTGGACCTTGCTCTCGCCCCGGACGAATTGGACGGCTTGCCCGGTTCCGTGCAGCTCGGAGGCCATCTCGCGAGCTTTTTGGTCCAGCAACTCGAAAGTGCCCATTTCGCCCTTCTAAAAAATAAAAGATACACGTCAGATTGAACAAGCTACCTGTGTCCCAGCGACAGCCATAGCTTGCGCAGCAATCGCCGTCGACTGTACATCGTAGGAAGTCATCACAGATCTCTTGATGCGCATCAGTTCTCTCATCTAAATACTTTGAACTACAAAAACTATGGATTTCAAATACCGTATCCTCATTGCCGTGCTTGAGCTCAAAGTCACGCCACTGATCCCAGAACTGTGTGTACACACGAGGATCGCAAATCTCGGCGCAATGGGTGTAGATGGCGCGGGCACGATCAATTTCGCCGAGTGTGCGCTCCATGTTGGCGTAGCGGACGGAGAATTCTCTGAAACAAAATAAATATCGTAACTTCAATTTTTCCGGTATTTACTATGGAAAAGACGACCGACCTGCTCTTCTTTTCAGGCAGCAGTTCGATCGCACGCTCGTAGATTGCCCGAGTCGAGGTGAGCCCGAAGATTTCCGCACCCTTCTTGATGTAGATGTTGAACATCTAAAAACCGCATTGAATGTTTTTGCCTAATAATATTTACCGCAGCCTTGTCCTCCTTGTCGACGGCCTCGCAGGCGCGGTTGTAGATGGCCATGGCGTGTCGAGCCAACCCGTACTCTTCTTCCAACTTGGCGTACAACAAAAAGATATCTAAAACCATTGTATGCGCATTGCAAAAGCAACTACTCTTTGAAAATTTGGCAGGGCAGTGCTCCAGGCATTCTTCGAAGAGGTCGCGAGCACGTTCTAGCTTTTTCTCGCCCTGAAAAAAAACGGATAGAAAAACAGTGTGAAATTTACATAGCGCGATGTGAACTTGCTGAGGTAGAGATTCCAAATGTCGTACACCATCGGCCAGCGGAACATCGATACAGCGCGGGAGTACACCTAAAAATTAAATTCGAAAATTACACCTACGAAATACCTGGAAGGCATTCTCGAAAAATTCGTGCTCCTCCAAAAACATCGCATAGTTGATGACGATTTGCGGGGTCGGGATGCCGAGATCCAGAATTCGGGCGTAGACCTGCTTCGTTTGCTCGAACTAGAAAATTATAATCATCTGAAGGAGAAAAATCGGGCTCACCGTTCCGACAGACTCCGTGAGATCAACATAGAACGTCCAGAGGCGTAAACTCTTGTAGACGCGATTCTCAAATAAAATGTATAAACATTAAAGTGGTAGCCAACCTGAACAGGCTCGTTCTCGTCGAAAAAGTCGGGCCGCGTGGGTGGCTGAGCGCAAGCGCGACGAAGCAGCGCCAACGCGCTGTTCGGATCCCTAAAGAATTTATCGACGAAATTCAGCAATTCACTACTCTTTCCGCAAGTGCAGCTCCGCGTATTCACACCAGATGTTAGCCAGTTCATCGACCTTGCGCAGCGGAACTTTGACGGCAATTTCAAAGATGCGGCAGGCCTGAAAATAAATGGAATAAATCTAGACTAAAAAGCTTACATCCTTGAACTGATCGTGCGACTCGTAGAATTTGGCAAAGGCGATCCACACATCGCTGAGCCGGCCGATCTGCTTCTTGGGGTCGATTCGCTTGACGGCCGTCTGGAACGTCTCCAGCTGCTTGTGCGTCGCGTCTTTGTGGCCCTCGTATAGCTGGACGCGATTCAACCACTCGTGTGTGTTGTGTGGGTTCTGCCGCAACATGACGCTGTTGACGAGAAGCGGGCGGCGAGCCAGAAGGTGCTCGTATCTTTAAAAAATTTACATAGCAGGATGTATTTGCAATTTTACCTCTCCATCATCCACGACAGCTCATTCCACTCGTCGTCGGTGGCGCCCTTCTCTTCTAGTTTAGTTGAATAGGTCCGAATTTGGTTATCCTAAAAAACTGAGCTCGAAAAATGGGAATGATGCTACCTCCAGCGTCGTATAAGCGTTGAAAATTTGAGCAAAATCGCGGACGGTGGTGACTTTGTCCATGCCCTCTTCGTAAACGTCGCGAGCCTAAGAAAGAACTTTATTAGAAAACAAGTTACAAACCCTCTCGAACTGTCCTCGGCGAACGAAGCTTTCGGCCAGGGCGCACCACAGAGAAGCGACCTGATCGGAATATCGCAGAATTCCGTTCCGGATAACATCCTCGACCACCAGAGAGCGGATTTTTGTTGGGTGCTAAAGGTAATGGATGACACAATTTTTCAACAATTTACATTCGACAGGATGTTGCACAAATCTGCCCAAAGATGGTGAACCGTTTTGCCTTGTTCAGTGAATGGGCGATCTTCTTGAATCAAGGCAGTGATCTGCAAGCAAAATCAGCTGATTTTTCAAAAGGGAACATACCTGGAGCGCTGCCTCGTCAAACTGCTGATACTTCAGTAGATAATCAACGAAGTCTTCGCGTCCAGATGGATTCAGCTTGACATATCTTTTATAAACTCTGGTCCCCGTTTCCGGAATGTTGTGCGCGTTCAGGAACTCGAGGTAAAGAGGCCAGATTCGCAGGTGTTGCGTGACGGGGAGAGCTAAATAATTTTGTAAAACAGGTGGGCTATTTCACCTTTCAACGCGCGATCAAAGACATGGCGGGTATCGGTGATCATCTGGCGCTGGGTCATAATCGTGCAGTATTGAATCCAAATTCGAGGCATCTGAAAAAGTGTATGATAAGTTTTGTTGATTTTTTAATACCTTCGGGAGGTGGACGAGGCAACGCTCATAGGCATCACAGAGTTCAGCATACGCCGGATGCAGCGGACCCTTCTTGAAGATGTGACGGCGCCAAAACCGCAGGTATTCATACCACAGCTTGTAACTGCGTGGGAAGACCTAAAAAGAATCTTAATCACATGTTAAAATAAAACCTGAATGGCGCGTTCATACAGCACGACCGTCTTGCGCCAGGGGCTCTTGACCTTGCGTCGATAGTTGATGTAGTTCAGCCACGGGTTGAGGGCGCCGGGATTCTTCAGAATGTTCTCCTCATACTTTTCGAATTCCGGTTTCTAAAACGAAAATAATACTTAGCTGAAAAAGTCTCGGGCTTACGATGTTCAGCGAGACTTTCTCCGGCTCCTCGACTTCAGCACTTTCGTACTTGAGGCTCTCGGCCATCTCTGGCATACCCTAAACTAAAATACGTATTCGAATAGAGTAACTAAAGAAAGGAAATCTGAACGTAGCTAAACGAACTTATTTTTATTTACTGTTTGAAACCGGTTAGTATACCTTTTTGCGAAAAAAACTGTCTCGGAATTCGAATGCGCGTGCCGCCACAATGAACGAGGGTGCAGAGGTGCGCCCAGTACCCATTAGGGCATGGAAAAGCCTCTTTTAAATTAAAATTAGTTTAAATAACAATCTTAACATGTATTAAAAGTCGACAATATCAAGTTAAGCGTTTATTTATACAAATTTGTACATCAAACGAAAGGAATGGCTTTGGCACCCGGATTCTGGACGTGGAATTATTTCATCGGGAAATTCCCCTTATTATTTTCGGCGCTGGTTGAGCCCGATGAGCGCTTGTAGTCGGCTGTTTACCTAAAAATTCGTTGGTTTTCATCTGGCTGACTAGGGCCGAAAAAACTTGTTATCTTATGGATTCGTTAGAGTTACCTGTTCAAGCGAAAAGTATCGCGGGGTGTAGTTGTCGATCATTATTGTGTAGCTGCCAAACGTGAACTCGGAATGGGATTTCGTCAGTGGACGACCTATATGCACTCTTTTAACGAGATCTTTTGTAGAGGTACCATTCACCGGGGCATGACCGATAGTAATAATAAATATTTGCCCCTGATCTTCCACCTCCCATTCTCCAGTGCCCAAAATTTCAAACGAGCGTCCGTCCTCGAGATTGAATAACCTTCGCCTCATGCCTAAAATTAGAATACTCTGAAAAACAGTTTCCACTTGCCTAGATTAACTTGTCTTTCTACTCTCGGCTCTCCAACCGTACACGTTGCCCGCGTTCCCATTTGTGAAATGTCGACATCCTGAAAATAGTATATTAATTATCCCTTAAACCTAAAATTTACTTTGTCAGAATAGTTAATACAGTCAATATTGTAACGTCCAAATCGAGCATTTTTAAAAGACTTCGGTGTGGAGTCGCCATCAGCTCCTAAATTTTTTTCAGCCATTTTTTGTTTGTTTTTGCTTCCAAACCCAATGTAATCGTAATCTCCCAACGGCTCGGCCTGTAAACCTGGAACGGGACGGCACACTCGAACTCGATGGTATATTCGTGATCCAGTGCCACCTTCCCTTCATAATCGTATCCCTTCGAGCGGGGTAGGGCGGAGCGTTGGAGCCTGAAATTAACGTTACCTATAAACGTATGCCTGTAGTTGCCCCCGATTTTTTTTCATCCTCGGTATCGATATCGACTTCCCGGTTCGAAAGTTTGAGGGGGGAGCGAGGCAAAATTGGCGAAAAAATTTGGTTCCGCCTGCATGCACATCAGCTCTCCCTTTTGGGTGGAGCTCGCTGACCGGCGATTTGATTAACTTTTAGTGGGCAAAAAGTGTTTAGCAAGTCTCGCTGAGCAAACATGGACATGAAGTTATGATATCTGGGATAACTCACGTATATGGTCTAAAGTATTCGGAAGTGGTCGTTTCGGGGAACCATTCCCTTGTCATTTCGGGGGTATATTCACGGGTCGTCTCCGGGTAATCTGTCGTTGTCGTGAATTCAACCATTTTCGGGGGCCGTCGAGTTCTGTGCTTTCCGCTCACATCGCCAATGCTGAAAATTGGGGGAAAAATCCACAAGGATACAAAATTTCCTACTTGCATTGTACATGATCAGCATCCCTGTAAATCATCACTTGTTCCGGGGAATAATTCGTAATATTGACTAGGGTGGAAAAGTAGCGGAATCTAAAAATGATATTTTTAAAGAGCTGTCGATCTGTTTTTACAATTGGTTGTTAAAACTGGCGTCCTCATTTGTATTGCGTGGCCTTTGAATAATCAATTCCACACAATCAGGCCTAGGGCGGCTGATCGTAAACTGTACCATACTGGCTACCTAAAATTCATGATAAAGCTTTCTGTTTGGTTTTCTAACCCACATTCAAATCGTGGCCAGGCGCCAGCGGTACTTTGCGCCGTAAAGGTTTGTCAAAGTACTGAAAAACCTGATTTTTAAGGGCTTCAAAAATTGTAAAAACCTCTGGCTCATCGTTGGCTTCATTGATTGGCCGCTGAATGGCAGCAGAGTAACCTGGAGGTCTGTAAGGCTCGATGGCTGGCTGGCGGCTTGTCTTCGGTCGACGGTAGTAAGGAGTTGTGTACTGGAAAGCTCGTTTTTTGCAATATCGGGTGAGCCAACGTTTTTTTTCTGAAAGTCTAGAAATGCCCAGTTACGTTATAGTAAATAGTAGTGGTTAAACAGATAGTAGTTTAAACACTGTTTTTAGTGAAATGCAACTATATCTTAAGTGGAAAACACTAAGAAAAATAAAAAGTTTTAAGTTGGTTTTTGGTGGAAAACAGTTTTTTAATAAAAATTTGTAAAGTTTAGCTCTTGGGCATAGGTTAAAAAATTAGAAAGGTTTCCTCTATTTATATTAGAAAAATGGGATCCATGCCCCCCCCCTACGATAATGCGAAAGAACCGAACACTCTAACTTTAGCGAGTGTACAGAACCAACCTGATAGGGGCTTCTGGTTGTCCTGATCTTGTACCCCTTCCTCCTGTCCGGTCGACTGTAGGCCTTTTTATAAGGCTTAATGTCATAGGTGGGAGGAGGTGTCGGATATGTCGGTTCTTGGGTGGCATAAAGATCTTCGCTAGGGATGGCATAGGTATCTTTTGGGGGTGCTGGAGGGCTGTATGATTGTTGATCGTAGTTTGGCCGCTCATAGGTAATCTGCTCCTTTTCGCCGCAATTACAGTCCCTCAGCTGGATTGTGCAGTAGTTGTCATCGAAGCTGCGCTCCATCTAAGGGACATTTGGTATGGTAGTTTGTCTAAATATTATAAGCTAGGAAACTTACCCTAACACCGCCTTCATTAACTACAGAAATATAGGCACGACCGTGAATAAAGGCAATAGATTGACGACCAGCAGGGGTCTTTGCATCTCCAAACTTTAGATTTATCCGCCCATCAAACGGCTGTTCGAGCTCGAATGGTATATCTCCGGATTCGACCCTGTAAAAGTAGATGTACAAGGCGTAGCATGGGATACTGGGTACTGGACTGTTAGCGGGGGGTTTAGCAGTGGGTGAACTACTTTTGTTTTTCTGCCTATACCTACTTGTCGATAACAGAGAATGTATTTTTATAGTGTTTTTAGTAGTTTTTGATCGTCAGAAAATTACAAAAAATATTTCTCTAGTTTGAAAAACTCTAAAAACCTTTTTGGCCATCTTTCACTCATTTTTGACCAAAATGCCAATAATTTTTAAAAATTTTCCCTATTTGGCATGCACTTTTTAGATTTAAAAACAGTGCAAAATGCTATAAAATGGGTTATCTTTCGTTATAGGGCCGTACCGAGTTTCTGGAAAAATTTTGTCCCCCGCTAACGGTCCAGTACCAAACACTGACCTCAAAAAGTTGCCATCTCCAGTCTCAATCTCCTCCAAACGTCCGAATACTCCCGACACAAAAGCACAGCTAACAACAATCAATAACATGATATTTCTCGGCTTCTTCAGCTGCTTCGAAGAAAGCCTTCTATAAGCCACCGCACATCGGTTCTCGCAGCCCTGTAAGAATTCCACATCGGCCCTTTCGCTCGGGTGGTTGGCAAACTTGTTTTTGAAGAATTTTGCCCGGCCCCACCCAAGAATGTTACTTATCAAACGGGGGAGAAAGTATTTCGTTTTTGCGTGGCCGGCGAATGGTTGCCGCGGAGAACGCTTGGGTCACGCCGCCGGATCCGACACTCGGGATCAGCCACTTTTTATAGGGTGGGGGAGGTTTCCAAAAGGAGTCGATCACAGTTACCTTTGAAGAAATATACTTCCGGAATCGGATAAACTGTCATATAAAGCTAGAGTAAATAAAAAACTATGGAGGCGTCAGACGCACGTTAAATTCTCTATTGCGCAAATCCTCCAGCTAAAATAATTATTGGTGCTTTCGCATTACTGGGGGGAGGTCTCCACTGGTTCAGAAACGTTTAATTACGTAATAAAAAGTATTTTAGGCGGGTTTTTGGTAGATTTTACTATATTCCAAGTGCAAAATTTAGAAAAGCTTAGAAAAATGTGAAATTTTGGTCGGAATCGGCAGTTTTTCATCGAAAGCTTTTTCTTTGTATTTTTCGTAATAAAAGTTGTAATACATAGTAGATGCCTAGGGCAAGCAAAAAAAAAACAACCGTTGAGATACTCTATTTCCTAACCCCTACTACACCCCAAAATTAGCAAATCGCAAGTGCAGAACGTCACGGAAGCAAAAGCTCGAAAACAATGCCAGAATTGGGCAACAACGAATAGCGGGGAAATGACCTGCCGATGTGATGGGCTGAGGAGAAGGAGGAGGAGAAGGAGGAGGTCAGAGCCGGAGGTGTGGCTCGAGAAGCCCTAAAAAGTGGACGATGAGGTGAGACGCGCGGACAATCGGACACGCTGATATGATGAAGCGATCCTCAGGTACTTCGCTAAAAGTCCCCTCAAAAAGGGGACAATATTTATCTGGGATGCTGAGGATGAAAATTCGGAGTGAGGGATTGAAAATGGCCAAATTGTTGAGGGTTTTGAAGTGGGGGTTCCTGTAGTTTCCCAGCTCCATAGCAGCAATCTGGGGAAAATGGTCCTCTATATAACTTTTTCATTAATGTTCGTTTCCTTTGTCTGAGCATGACGCTCGTCGCCGGAAGTTTGAGAATCGAGATGCTAATCTTCAAAACGATTGCCGACGATGGGGTAGTGTGAAGAGATGCCTAAATGACTGCACGGGAAGATACGCTAACTCGTTCCACTACTAACGACGAGATTTACAGCTTTTCGAGATTTCAGATAAAATTTCGAAAGAGTAAAAGTATCCGTGCTAGCAGAGCAAGATGATGAAATCGCCTTCGCTTGGCTTACGGTATGATGTAGATTTCGTCATGAATGGCGAACTGCGTCTCGTCGCATCCGATTTGGCCCAAATATTTTTGCTTATCTCACGGTTTCATGCGTTTTCTTGTAATTTTAGGATACGGTTTTTGCTATTAGTTGGACTGTTAGCGGCGGGTTAACGGGTTACAGGAAAGACGAATTTTATTTCTCGACCTATATGAATAACGCAAAATGCATTTTTATAGTGTTTTGAAGTTTTTGATTACTAGGAAGTTACAATCCTACTATATATAAAAAAGTAGTGTCTGTGTGTGTGTGTGTGCCACTTTGCATGCAACTTCCGTCAGGTTGTTCCAGGCGTATCTCAAGAAGGGAGAGAAGTTAGGGGAATGTTTGATACGTCATTAGGAGCGTAATGGTCTGGCGATGACTGCACGCATATCAGATTTATCAAAATTGGCTATTTTCGACATTAAATTTTAGTTTTTGTTGAAAAACCGAGACCCTCTTTGTTAGGAATCAATTAGCATACACCGGAAGTGCGGGTAGCCTATATAAAGGAGCGGAGAGAGCATTTTTCACTTTTTTTCAGCGTGAGTCGGGCCGAATTATGCAAAGTGCAAAACTTTCAGTGGGGTGGACTGGGCCAGGGTTGAAAAGTCGCGAAGCGGCTTTTCAACCCTGGTAATCGTTTAAAAGAAAAAGTTTGGCTTTTTTGGAGTCATTTCCCCTAGATTTTGGCCAAAAAAATCCAAAAGTCTCGACTTTTTAGTTACTACCAGGGTTGAAAAGCCGCTTCGCGACTTTTCAACCCTGGCCCCGTCTAAACCAATAATATTTTTCACTTTGCATTCTTACATACGGTTCTCCATTCCTATGTGAATAATGAAAAATGTCACTCACTAGCTCTTCATATAGGCTCCCGCCACTTCCGGTGTATGCAAATTGTTTCCTACCAAAGAGGGTTCCCCATTTTACAACAAATACATAATTTTAATGTCGAAAACTACTGATTTTGTAAAATCTGATATGCGCGCAGTCATCTCGTGGCCATTACGCACGTATCATACGTAGCCTAATACCCGTCCCTTCTTGAGATATCCTCCGGACAGCCTGACGGAAGTTGCATGCAAAGTGGCACACACACAGACACTATTTTTTTATATATAGTAGGATTTGCGATTATATATGCTAAATGCTAATGCATGCGAATGCTATGAAATGAGCTACATTTTCTTTTAGGTCCGTACAGGTTTAGTGGAACCCACCCCCCCCCCTCGCTAATCGTCCAGTACCGCCGGGTTTTTGAGCAACAGGGAAGCGGAGGATCTCGCTAAACCTCCTCATATCTACGTGCACCCATAGCCCTAGTGCCACTATTTTTAGGGCTATCCCTGGGTCAGACGAGCAAAGACACACGTCCACCGATGTCCAGCCAAGGATTTGTGCCCTGAGGGCCTTATATCAGGCGCCTCCCTTTTTCTCGTGAACACCCGCCTTGCCCGTGGCCATCAGTTCTCTATTCCCCTCGGCCCTCCTTTCCTTGTGGCCCAATCCAATGTCCCAGCCTTTTCCCGCCCGGCCACTCGGCTTCCCCAGCCTCCCCTGGCCAACCCACTATTGCGTCAACAATTCGGCCCTCCCAACAACCCGGACCCTTATTTTTGCGTGGAATTTCGTGGTTTTGTTTACCTTTTCTCGGCTCTCAGCGTCGTAACAATAATGATGCGTGAATTTGGGAGCCGGCCGATGTGGTTCTTGTATCTTTTTCTCGATGTGAGGGTTTTCGAAGGAAATTTAGAAAAGTGAAGCGCCGGGAAATCATACCAGCATTCTTATTGCCCGTTCAAACGGCAAGACTACATTACTTTCCGATTAGACACCCCTGCCTTGGCGGCGAATTAGCGTCCCCCGCTTGTTAGCGACCGTATTTACCTTGAAAACCCAATTCATTCGTTTTATTTGCTCGATTCAAACCAACAAAAGTACGGTGCCCTTAAATAAATAAATCCATTTTATTTCCCTAGTTTAGTAACACGACTAAACTACTTCCTGATGGAATACTAGCTTCTGAAAACATTGACTGCGAATCAGCATTCCGACTTCCTATACGACGTTTATTTTGATCATTTCTCCCAGTTTTTTACTAATGCAAACCTTGACAAATGCAAGATATAATAGTAAAGGGTAGTAAAATAAATTTAAACCTTTTTATTTGCCCGACCCAAAAGTCTGGACTACATTATTTTCCGAAATGACACCCTCACCTGCAAAAAATCTTCTGCTGTTTAGGGTTCCCAGCGACAATTTACGATATTCGCCTTTAAAACGGCACGAACAAAACTTACCTAATTCGATCTTCGCTGCTTTTTCTGTTCTGTCCCCGCCCATACGCCCAAAAGTCAATAGTTCGTTAGTGATTTTTTTTTACTTGACTATCCTCTCTTTGACCTGTAAGAGATTTCCGCCTTCCTGTTATCTATTTCTTTTAGCCAAATGGAAGCAGAGGAAGACCCTCCACCAATACACAAGCACTCCGTCTACGCAATCGGCGTCCAGGATGACTTTCATCAAGATGATGACCTCGTCGGACCATTGGAAGCGATCAAGGCCCGCGAGCGAATGGCGAGAAGGTAATTCTTTATTTTTTATCAAGATTCTTTTTTATTAATAACATTTCTAAAAGCGCAGAAAATGTACCCAGCTTGCCCCTAAATTTTATCAGCGGTTCGTCTTTTCCTTCTCAAACAAAAATTCCTGGAGAAGGCACCGATTCTTAACCCATTACTAGCCCTATGTTTTGATTCGAAACGAGTGGTGCGTTTCCTTTTGTTTATCCCCCACTTATCTTGCCGCCTGACCAAAAATTTTGGACTTTCCGGTCGGTGGGGGGCGAAACGTGAAAAGACGTAGCCTATTTGTCTCCGCATTTCTCCCTGGTTTCTCTCAACACTGCTCGCAGCCTTGACTACCAAAAATAACCAAACGATCGTGCCCGTCATTCGCTATCCCGCGGTCCCGAAATTGGATTCCTATGTCTATTTGTTGTCTAAATGAAGCCGAAACCTCACCTCCATAAGCATGAGCCGCAACCGGCGAAGGCTTTGCACAAGCTGTCGATGAGGTGAAAACCGGGGAAATGTAAAAACTTTGAACAGTTTCTTTCCAACTTTTTTACGAAAGTCAGGCCAGTTAAAATGATAAACATTAAGTTTAAAGTGCTCTTTTGCGCTTGCTGCCTCATCCGCACTGTTTCTTTTTGCAGCTATCACAGGGTCATGCGTATTTTGTGGCGGGAGGGGCTCGTTTCGAGGGCAAAAGGCTAAAAGAGCAGACACTTCTGGAGGGGTAAACAGGGTCGATAGGGCGGGCGGATTACTTCCCTAACCTTGTCCAGCCGGAAATCAATTAGCGTTCTCAATTTTAGTGTTTTTCTGATTTGGAAAATGCAAGATGCGGATTGGTTTATGCTCGATTGGGGGTTTGTAAGCGATAGATAGAGTCGAAGAAACGGGTAGCTCGCTAGATAAACAAAGTCTGGCAATTTTACCGTCAACTTCCATTTCCACAGCCTCTTGCCAGATTTTTTTACGGATTTCGCATTGGTTAGAAGAGTTCAATAACAAAAATAGGCTATGGCGGCTATGCTTATCGATATTCTTCTAAATTGGACTTAATTTTCATTCCAGAATGGACTCCATCATCCCGGTCATGGGCCGGGAAGGAGCAAACATCCAGCTGAACCTCTACCGCGGACGCACCATGGCCGTCTTTACATCTGGAGGCGATTCTCAAGGTATTTCATTAATTTTGATATAGCCATTTTTTTAGGAATGAACGCCGCCGTCCGATCAGTCGTCCGAATGGGCATCTATCTCGGTTGTAAGGTCTACTTCATCCGTGAAGGCTATCAAGGAATGGTCGATGGTGATGAGTATATTGGTTGGTACCATAATTTTTTTATATCCTCAGGCTCTCCTCTAGATTCCAGGGTAAAAGTCTTGTTGTTTGGATATAGCCTTCCTCGAGATAAACCTTTTCAAGGAAACCACCCAGTAAAAAGCGGAATTGGCAAAAGATGTTATCACGGATCGGCTTATGGTACAGGGCTTAAAATACATTGAAAGACTTCGGAATTACGCTCACCGGATAGACAATACAACACTTTTTGGCACTATCACCGCTAATAACTTTTTCCGCTACATTTTTATAAGAAAGTTTTTAGTGGAAGCTTCGTGGAATGCCGTGTCAGACATCATCCAGAAAGGTGGTACTATCATCGGCTCAGCGCGATGCGCTGATTTCCGAGAGAAGGAAGGCCGAAAGAAGGTAATAATTTTTGAGCAATAATTTATACTACTTTTAGGCTGCTCGCAACCTGATTTCTCGCGGTATCACGAATCTCGTCTGCATCGGCGGTGATGGTTCGTTGACTGGAGCAAACACCTTCCGAAAAGATTGGCCCGGGTTGATCGCCGAGCTCGTGAAGGATGGAACTGTAAGAAGAATGTTTTAAGCATATAAAACCGTTCTTAGATCACCCAAGCGCTCGCCGACGAGCACCCGAACATCCAGATTGTCGGCTTGGTCGGCTCGATCGACAACGATTTCTGCGGTAAATTGGTTTTAGGTTTTTTCTGAAAATTGGTGTGTCTTAGGCACTGACATGACGATCGGAACAGACACGGCTCTGCAGCGTATCATTGAAGCTGTCGACTCTGTGGTCAGCACAGCACAATCTCACCAGAGGGCATTCGTCGTTGAGGTAATTTACAGGGTATGATTCACGAGTTGATGTTTTTAGGTAATGGGCCGACATTGCGGATACCTGGCCCTGGTGGCTGCTCTTGCTTCGGAGGCCGATTTCTGCTTCATCCCGGAATGGCCGCCGCCATCCAACTGGCGCGACATCCTCTGCGACAAGCTGCAGCAAATGCGCAGCGAGGGACAACGTTTGAACATCATCATTGGTCAGTTTTAGGCAGCATCGTTTCAGTTCGTGTTTTTTTCAGTCGCTGAAGGCGCGATCGATCGTGACGGAAATCCGATCACCGCCGATTTGGTGAAGGACGTCATCAAAGAGAAGCTGAAGTACGACACACGAGTTACCGTGCTTGGGCACGTGCAACGAGGAGGCTCGCCATCAGCGTTCGATCGTATCCTTGGCTGCAGAATGGGTGCTGAGGTATTACTATTATTAATTAATCTAGAAAAATATTTTCCAGGCAGTGCTCGCCCTGATGGAGATGACGGCAGATTCTGAACCTTGCGTCATATCGATCGACGGAAATTCGATGGTAAAATCCGCGTTCGAATTCATTTTCTGTGTTTAGGTCCGTGTCCCCCTGATGCAATGCGTTGAGAGGACCCAAGCCGTCCAGAAGGCCATGCACGAAAAGGACTGGGAGACGGCCGTCAAGTTGAGGGGTCGCTCCTTCCAGGTAAAGCAAAATTTATTAAATTAAACCTTGTTTTTAGCGAAATCTGGAGACCTACCGGCTGCTGACCAAATTGCACCAGGAACGCGAGAACCTCAGCGGCGGTCACAACTTCAACGTGGCCGTGATGAACGTTGGAGCTCCGGCTGGAGGTTTTAGCATTTTTTTATTAATATTAAAACTTTTATTCCAGGTATGAACGCGGCGGTTCGCTCGTTTGTGAGAATTTCCCTCTACCATCATTGCACGGCGTTCGGGATCAACGACTCGTTCGAGGGGCTCGCAAAGGGTGATCTAACGGTTGGTTTTTATTTTATAAATGATTTTTCTCTTTTCTTAGCAATTGAAATGGGACAGCGTGACAAACTGGGTGATGCACGGCGGCTCGTTCCTCGGAACCCAAAAACAGCTGCCCAACGAGGACAACATGGAAAAGATTGCCGCGACCCTCAAGAAGTTCAACATCCACGCCCTGTTGCTGATCGGAGGTTTTGAGGTAGTTTATGGGGAAAAAAAGAACTATTTGAATTTTTCTAGGCTTATCACTCGACGATCATCCTCTCGCAGCACCGTCACAAATACCCAGAGCTCCAGATTCCAATGTGCGTCGTCCCGTGCACCATTTCGAACAATGTGCCAGGTGAAGATTGAAATATGCGTTTCCAAGCCATCTTCTCAGGAACTGTATTGTCGCTTGGCTCCGACACGGCGGTCAATGAAATTTGCCAACAAATCGACAAGATCAAGCAGTCAGCTACCGGAACGAAGCGACGTGTGTTTATCATAGAGGTGAAAGCTCGTATAGTAACTTGAACCTTTTTAGACAATGGGTGGCTACTGTGGCTATTTGGCGACGGTATCTGCCATCGGCTCCGGTGCCGACAACGCCTACATTTTCGAAGAAAAATTCACCGTTGAAGACATCATCGAGGACGTTCGGGTGATTACGCAAAAGATGGAGATCGGCGTCCAGCGGTACCTGATCGTGCGCAACGAGTGTGCGAACAAGAATTACACAACCGAGTTTGTTGAGCAACTATTTGCGGAGGAGAGTGGAAATCGGGTAGGGATTTGTAACGTTTTTTAAAAGTTGTTCTAGTTCTCCACCCGAATCAACGTCCTCGGCCACGCTCAACAGGGTGGCAGCCCAACGCCGTTTGATCGAAATATGGGTATTTTCCAAAAATTAACGACTATTTGAGAGTTTAGGCACGAAAATGGGAGCTCGAGCAGCAGAATTCCTGATCACCAGCATGAAACAACACTGGAAAGACGGGAAGATGATCGCCAATAAGTGAGATTGGCTCGAATCACTGAATTTATTGCTCTTTTTAGCCCGGAATCGGCAGCGTTGCTTGGCCTGAACGGACGTCGCGTTGTCTTCTCCCCGGTTGCTGAACTTGCCAAGGTTCGTTCCCTTCCATGTTTTCATTATCCCAATTTCAGGAGACCGACTTCACCCATCGGCTCCCAAATACCCAGTGGTGGTTGAAATTGCGCCCGTTGCTGCGTATCTTGGCCAAGCACGCCGACACCTACATGACCGAGGCCTACGTCGATTCCGACGATGACGCCGGTATTTAGATACGAACAATTATAGTAATTCTCATGACCCTTACTGTGTATTTTTAGTATTCATAGGACTGGTGCTTTGTATTTCCTACCCTCTCCGTTCAAATAGAATACCTTGTGATTATTGCAGTCAATCCTTTTTCAATTTGCCATCTTGTCAGCCCGTGTCTGTGCTTATCAGTAGCTGTGAATAGGAATAAAGATAGAAACATGCTTACAAGCAGGGAAAGGACGTGCAATCCGATAATATACTAAAATTGGTCCCTAGAATTAAAAAATTCTGCAGTAAATGGTAGGTCCGTGTGGATGGGGTTAGCTGTGAAGGCGATGGAATCACTTTTCTAGCTAAATTTTCTCCTCTCTTATCGCCTTCAATCGTTTGATACACGAAATAATCCGGCCGCTCGCGAAAGTGCCCACTATTTGTTTTTTTGCTGGGTTCTGACCCCTGCTGGAAAAGAGCGTGCCGATACAACGTGTTGAGGGCTTGCGTTTTGGGTTTCAAGGCCGTTTTTGGTGATGTATTAGGCCCAGCGTTGATCTTTTGAGCGTCCAGTATTCTAGTTATAACAATTCTTTCTTTGAGTTCTTTAAAAAATATTCTGTAGCAAAAGTTCTGTATATTAACACGATCAGGTCGATCAAACTTTATCTTTTAAGATCCGGCGCTTTTTTCAGTGAATCGCCATCTTTCTACACGCTTTTAAAAGCCAGGAAGCGACTGGCCTGTTCCAGAGAAAAAACCCCATTCAGACATCCGCCGATATGTCGGTGGGGTGATCGTTGCCCGCAACTCTCCCCCGGCCGCTCGGCGCTACAATCTGCACTGACACACACAATTATCTCGGCATTTCTGGCGGCCATCTCTGCGCCTCCTCGCCGAGATTCCGAGATATCGAGGCCACCACCACACCGGCCCTCTCAAATAGAGACTGTCCACTGCCCCGCGTGTTCGCCCTCCGACCCCGCCCCGGGGGAATCGATGCACCGGTTACCTCCCAGCAATTATTTGCCCTTTTTATGTATTGCTTTGCCGGGGTTGCTTTTGTTTACGCGCTTCATCGGGTCGGTGGGCTCCCGAATTGTAAATATAGTCATCATTTGAAATTCAGCAGTAGAAAATGTGTCATTTTCTCAGCTAATTCTTCCTCAACCCAAATAGAGTAACACACCCGCTCATTGTTCAGGTAACCCACGATGGCCTACACGAGCCTCGTCACCGATCTGCCCGTCAACGGCAAAAAGTATAAATTTTTTGACCTGACCGCCTTGAAGGATGACCGCTATGGTAGGTACTACAAAAATCTAATATACAAAAAATACTACGATATACTACAAAAAAACCGATTATTTTCAGAAAAACTGCCCATCTCCATCCGTTATTTGTTGGAGTCGGCTGTCCGATACTGCGATGATTTCCATGTAAAGAAGGTAGGAAAAGCGTAGCCAAACCGGCTTTCATCGAGGAATTTGGTTTTTTTGTTATATCACGGAAAAAAATTTATACACAGAAATTTAGGCCGATGTCGAGACGATCCTGAACTGGCAAGAGATGCAGACGGCTCAGGCTGAGATTCCGTTCAAGCCAGCCCGCGTGATTCTGCAGGATTTCACGTGAGTATTAACCCAGCTATCTCGATTTTACGTAAGTGTTAATAGAAATTTCAACGTTATTTTCGTAACCTAAAAACTGTATCCATCTTAGCGGTGTCCCTGCTATCGTCGACCTGGCCGCCATGCGTGACGCCGTGCAGCACATGGGCGCCGATCCGGCCAAGATCAACCCGGTGTGCCCGGTTGACTTGGTCATCGACCACTCGGTCCAGGTTGATGCTTACGGAAGGTGTGAACTCGATGATAATCAGAAAATTCCGGATTTTCAGCCTCGATGCTCTGGCCAAAAATCAGTCGATCGAATTCGAGCGTAACAAGGAGCGTTTCAACTTTTTGAAGGTGGGCTGCGTAACTGGCAATATAAAGAGCAATTTTAGTGGGGCTCGAAGGCGTTTGACAACCTGTTGATCGTCCCCCCTGGCTCGGGCATCGTCCACCAGGTCAACCTCGAGTATCTGGCTCGAACGGTGTTTGCTGATAAGGTAAGAAATTAGCCATGTGTAGAGAAATCATGTAAAATTTAATAAAAGCTATTTTTAGGACGGCGTTCTCTACCCCGACTCGGTCGTCGGTACCGACTCGCACACAACCATGATCGATGGTTGTGGAGTCCTTGGATGGGGTGTTGGTGGCATTGAAGCCGAGGCCGTCATGCTCGGACAGCCCATCTCCATGGTAGGTGTACTTTGAAGATTTTGTTACTCGAAAATTCTACAGGTCATCCCGGAAGTCATCGGCTACGAACTGACCGGCCATCTTCCTTCGGTCACCACCAGCACCGATCTTGTGCTGACCATTACCCAGGTAAAAATAAAAACTTAGAAAAATATGAATAGTTCTAGAACCTGCGTGAACTCGGCGTCGTCGGAAAGTTTGTCGAATTCTTCGGAGCCGGTGTTGCCTCCCTGTCCATTGCGGATCGGTAAGCGCGATGATACCGATTTAAAAGTGCCATTTACAGCGCCACCATCGCCAACATGTGCCCGGAATACGGAGCCACCGTCGGCTTCTTTCCAGTTGATGCCCGTACCATTGAGTAAGGTCAAAGAGACAGTAGCTGGTGATGATCAAATTTAGCTACCTCCGCCAAACTGGTCGTGATGAGGAAGTCATCGCTCGTACGGAAGCCTACCTAAAGGCCAACCACCTCTTTGTCGACTATTCCGATGTTAACTTCCGGCCAAACTACACCAAGGTATGGCTTGCAACATCAAAGGATATTTAACGATTTTTACAGGTACTGAAGCTCGACCTCGGCACCATTGTCCCATGCGTCTCGGGCCCGAAACGCCCCCATGATCGTGTGGATCTTGACAAGCTCCACGCCGAATTCAAGGAGGGTCTTGGCGCCAAGGTCTCCTTCAAGGTAGGGCTTTTAGCAATAGACAATAAGATCGTATTATAGGGCTTCGGGCTCAAGCCTGACGAGCTGCCAAAGACGGTCAAGCTGTCGGTGGACGGTCAGGAGACGGAGCTGCAGCACGGATCGGTCGTCATTTCGGCAATCACCTCCTGCACAAACACCTCCAACCCGTCGGTCATGCTGGCTGCTGGATTGGTGGCGCGTAAGGTAGGTGGCTCTTGCATATTCAAAAAATTATCTTTTCAGGCCCTAGCAGCTGGACTGAAGGTCCCACCCTTCGTCAAGACTTCCCTGTCGCCCGGCTCTGGTGTTGTCACGAAGTATAATACCAATATTTGGCCTATTAGTCGTGTTTAAGGTATCTCGAAGCTTCCGGACTGCTCCCCGACCTCCAGAAGCTCGGCTACCACATTGCTGGCTATGGCTGCATGACCTGTATCGGCAACTCGGGGCCCCTGCACGATGCCGTCTCGGCCGCTATTGAGGATGTAGGTCCTTTAGAATTTCGCTATTTTTGTCTTCTAGAACAACCTGGTCGTATCGGGTGTCCTTTCCGGCAACCGCAACTTCGAGGGACGTATCCACCCGCTCGTCCGCGCCAACTACCTGGCCTCCCCGCCGTTGGTGGTCGTCTACGGACTCGCCGGAAATGTCAACAAGGACATCTTCAATGAACCGATCGGCCACGGAACTGATGGAAAGGCCGTCTACTTCAAGGATGTTTGGCCGACGAGGGAAGAGGTTAGTGATTGTATTAAAAAAATTTGAATTTCTTTTAGATCGCCGAAATCGAGGAGAAGTACGTTCTGCCGCAATTCTTCAAGGAGGTAGTTTGCTTATTCTGATAACCTTACCCTTTTTAGGTGTACGCCACCGTGGAGCTCGGTTCCCCCGACTGGCAAAAGCTGGAAACCCCTCAGGTTTAGGCATAACGCTTTTAGATGAACAGCATTTTAGGCGAAGCTCTACCCCTGGGACCAATCGTCGACGTACATCAAGAAGGTCCCCTTCTTCGAGACGATGGTTTGTATCTGAAACAGAAAAATATTGATTGAACTGAATTTAGACGCGCGAGCTGCCGAAGCAAGGCTCCATCGAGAACGCCTACGTGCTGTTGAACGTCGGCGATTCCGTGACGACAGACCACATCTCGCCTGCCGGATCGATTTCGAAGGTGATTTAGGATTTTGCTAATGAAATTTTAATGTTTTCAGACATCCCCAGCAGCGCGCTTCTTGGCGTCGAAGGGACTGACGCCACGCGACTTCAACACATACGGAGCTCGTCGTGGAAACGATGAGGTGAGTCTTGAAAGTTTTATTTTTACCCATAATCAGATTATGGCTCGCGGAACGTTTGCCAACATTCGATTGGTCAACAAGCTGGCATCAAAGGTGAGCTTTAAAAGCATCAAAATTTGCTAATTATATGAATGGTTTATTTCAACCGGGTAATATAACGTAGGCGAAAAATGATAAATAAAAAATTTTGCAACGTAAAGTGAAAAAAAATGGGTGAAAGACGAAGGGACGGGGATAATAGGGTTAATAATTCCTATCTAATTTGTTAGTTAGTTCTGATAAGAATTGAAGAAGTAAAAAAACTTTTCTAACTGTATCTAAATGCTTTATATTCGCTTAGGTTGGCCCCCAAACCACCCACGTGCCCAGCGGTCAAGAGCTGGACATCTACGACGCCGCCGAGCGATACCAAAAGGAGGGCCACCCAGTGATCATCCTCGCCGGAAAGGAATATGGCTGCGGATCATCTCGAGATTGGGCCGCTAAAGGACCGTATCTTCAGGGAGTGAAGGCCGTCATCGCCGAGAGCTTCGAGCGTATCCATAGGTATACTTTATTTAGTTGTTAAGCCACGTTAAGAGGGGGGGCATACCCCCCCCCACAAACACACCCCACCGGGGGGGGGGGGGGGCCCGGGCCCCCCCCCGCCGGGCCGGCCCCCCCCCCCCCCCCCCCCCGGGCCCCCCCGCCCCCCCCCCCCCGGCGGGGGGGGGGGGGGGGGGCCCCCGGGCGCCCGGGGGGGGGGCGGGGGCGGGCCGGGGCCGGGCGCGGGGGCCGCCCTCCCCCCCCCCCCCCCCCCCCCCCCCCCCTTAAACTTGATTTTTAGGTCTAACCTAATCGGTATGGGCATCGTCCCCCTTCAATTCACGGCCGGCCAAAATGCCGACTCATTGGGTCTGACCGGCAAAGAACAATTCTCCATTGACCTGCCCGACACGCTGAAAGCGGCCGACATTCTCAAAGTGAAAGCCTCGAACGGTACCACCTTTGACGTGCTATGCCGCTTCGACACTGAGGTCGAGCTGACGTACTACCGTAACGGCGGTATTCTACAGTACATGATCCGGAAGCTCATCCAATGAGCAATTTTCCGCCTTAATTCTCTGCACCTTTTATATAATATTCTTGTGAATTCCTTCCCCCCGCCTGAATCTGTGTTTTGATGTGTAGCGATTCGTATTAGGCGCCCGTGCTCCTCCAATGTGATAGATAAAAGTTTATTAGATAGTTATGTCCATGCCCGTAGAAATCTTGAAATACAACTGAATCAAATGTGGGTGAGCGGCAGATTTATACCCGAACAAGAAGGCGAGAATTGGTGAGTTTCGTTAAATTTTACACGAAAGAAGCAAAATAACGGGGGAGAGGGGGTCAAGCAATGCGGGGTACAAAAAGCCGCCAAAAAGGTTTACTTAAGAGTGGCTTCGTCCGGAGTTGTTCCATGCTTCTTCGCAAACGCCATAGCGTAGCACTTCGTGAGCGTCCTTGCCAACGCCGACCGCTCCTTTTTCTGCATTGGCTTGGCCTAGAAAAATTTCGTTGGGTGCAAAACGGAACCCGTACCTTTCTGCCTTCCGCGCTACTTTTTACGTTGGCCAGCAGTGGTTTGGCTTGGGGCATCTTGGCGAGTCGCTTCAGGACTTTGTCCGATACTTTGCTAAACAAAAATGTGGTTGATTAGTTTAAAAGGCTTACTCTTCCCAATAGCCAACTTTTCCGGCCGCCGTAATGGCCTGGGCAACATGGGCGAACCAGCACTCCACTTTGCCCGCCGGATCGTAACTGAAAAATAAGGCGGCAAGTCGGTTTGAAAACTGCGCAACGTACTAGAATGAGAAAGCAGTATCGAAGGGCCGAATGTCCTTGTAAAACGCGAATCCGAAGTCGTATTGGTCAATGTCAGACATCCAGGCAAGTACTACCTACAACAAAATAGATAAAGGAAATATGATAAAAACCCACTTTGATAACTTCACCGTCTTCGAAATGGCGGGTATCGTCAGGGCCCGTCGACACGGCGTTTAGATCGAGTACCTAAAAATTGAAAAAATTGATGTCAATCGGAAATCCTTAGAAAGCCACTGTGATCCATGATAATGTGAAATTATTACTTGAAAATTGTAGATGTAGGCAGGCCAATATTCCTTCTTCCCCTTTTTGTTCCATGGTGCCCACACCAAATCTCCGTGACGAAGATTTAGCGGGTTACGATCAGCAGCCAGGTCCACACGGTATTCCTTGAAAGGCCCTTGGTGCAGAGATACCCAAAAACGCACCTTTTCCTTGATTTGAGCCGCCACTCCAGAGCCGAGGAAAACGAAACTCAATTGGTCACCGTCGAGCTCGAGTTCGAAGGCGGGTCGCTAAACAAGAGGCTCCTTAGAAATCATAAAAATACCGGCGATTCTGGCTCGAGAGATGGGAAATCCTCCAGGTTATTGCTTTTTAAGAGTTCGACATCGCCGAGTTGTTGATAGAAGGCCTTCATTTGCTCGTAGCTGCAAAATAAACTGATCTATACGAGAAACCAGGCATACCTTTGGGACGGCTGGTAGGCGATCGGGAAGTGCAGCGAATAGGGGAAGATCCTGACGAGGTCGCCACCTCCCTTACCATCGTATTGGGCGTACTCGCTCGGTTTCTAAGCGGGGACACTTATTCGAAAAATAGGAAAACTTACAAAACAATGCGGGGTCCACTGGCTGTATTCGTTCAGCGCGACCAGGTCCTGGATAGCCGGGTCGTAGCCATCGCCGAAGCGGTTCCGCATCTCGATTTTTGGACATGGCCCGTCAGCGACTCCAGTGACGATGAATCTGAAATGAGCTTTATAGCGAAGAAGCTTCATAAATATCGGAATGAGCAGCCCAGGCTCCGTAAAGACGTACCTTGCCCGTCCGGGAGGCGGATCGAGTTTCGTGAACTTTGCCGGCTTCTTCGCAGGGGTGGTGGAAGGGCGCTTGCGCTGGTTACGCGACGATTTCAACGACATCTCACTTTCTGCAAAAAAAAACTGGTTTAGGAGCTCCAATAATCATCAACCACCATTTCAAAAACACGTACCTTCGGCCTCCTCCTCAAAGCCATAAGGGTCGAAGTTGTCGACTGGCTTTGCGGTGCTCGTTGACGCCACTACCGGAATTTCGACGGTAGCTTCTGATGGTGTCGAGCGATCGCGAAGTGCCCGGCGTGCAGGTTTCGGTGGTGTCAACATCTTGGGATCAACGCGCAGCTTGATCGGGGTTCGCTCCCTTGGAGACTTGATTGGAGATGCAGCCTGAGAAAATCCGATATACCAATAGGTAAAAAGCAACCTCTGTCTTCGGTGATCTCTCTTTTTGGCTTGTTGGAGGAATCGGCACCTCTTCCGGCTCAACTGCGACGCTCTCATCCCTGTTAGTCGGTACTGTTTCGGTGATAGACGAGCCAAAGGTTGCTGTGTTCTTCTCCGCGACAATATGCGATTTCTCCTCACCGACAGCGGAGGGATGCTTGCGCAACGACTGAAAACCAAGGTGAATAAGGGCTGAATACGCAAGGCCTCACAAACCTCGTTCGGGAGCGTTTGAGCGGGAACGTTCGGCGTGGCAGCTTGAAATTCCTGGACGGGAGCAGCCGTCTTCTGCTTCTTGGGACCGATCGTTGGCTTTTCTTCTTCCGTGACCCTTGTAGTGACTGGAACCGCCTAAAAACCCAGCTTTTATGTGGAAAAGGAAATAAATAACCTCATCATTCTGGGGTGACTTCGTTTGAGTCGGCGTGGCAATCGGAAGTTCATGCTGCTCGGGTGAGGACGACCAATCCTGATACTAAAAGCAATAAAAATTAAAGAGCTGCGTTTTAGAAACCTCAGCCTCGCCTTCGGATTCGGGCGGCTCATCTATCGTGGAGATGCGAGTCGGTTTGTGGTTTTGGGCGGGCAGCTCAGGCTTCTTCTCCGATCCATCAGGATGTAACAGCGGCAATGCTTCGGACTGCTCGCGCTGCCACGGTGCTTTCGCCAGCTCGTTACACAGGATCTTGCTGAAAAAGCAAAATATTGCAAAATAAAACTGCCGTAAATCACCATATTCCTGCCGGAAAGCTGAGTCGGGTTCTATAGCCGTCTTCTGCCGCAAGGGTCACTGTGAAAACTTCTCCTGTCCTCTCGAGATGGTCGACAGACGTAATAACTAAAAAAAAAAATGGTTTCAGAAAGTCTCTCTTCTCCCCATCCGTCCCCTTCCAAAAAATCACCATGAGCTGGGTCACCAACGGCAGGCGAGTTCTCCTCCATCTGCCGCGAAGGGCCGATCAAGCTTCACCTAAAAATGAATATATTAGGATTAGGACATTTACAAAGTGTGAGAAGAAGTTTATAAGTCAATGATCATGTTTCCATTCTAACTACAGGGTGTCCCAAGCCCCCCCCCCGGCCCTAGCCGGCCGCAGACTTGACCGATGTTTACTATTTAGCTAACTATCGAAAGCTCTCGGAAAGACGACCAGCACGGCGCGCCGATTTTTGGAATTTCGGGATTTTTTTTCTCGATTTTCGGCATGTTTCACGCCAAAAGGACACGCTTTGGGTGCTAATGCAGTTAGGGGGGGGCAGTCAAAATTTGGAAGTAAGAGGTTACGAGACGCTCCGGTTAAGCTACTTGGTTTTTAGCTTCAGCCTAGGCTTAACTTAGCTTTAACTACGCTTAGATAAGGCTTAGGCTTAAGGTTAAACCCAAACTAACAAGGGAACCACCTAAGGTCAAGGTGGCGTTTCGTTATGGGACCCAGTTTATTTTGTGCAGAATTTTTTGCTGATTTCGAATCCGCTTTTATTTTTTGCTAAATAGCCCAATTTAAAAAGTTATAGCGTTTCAAAGTTCCGTTTTTTCCCAAATTTTCGAACTTCAAAGTCATTTATCTTGCCTTTCCCGTCTGATTCCTCAAAAACGAATATCGCCATCGTATTCAGAAAAATTTTCTCTATCGAAGAACTATTTAACTCAAAATTGTTGAAAATTGAAAAAATCGAATGCCCTATCAAAACAAAAAAGTTGGGCATCGTGACAGATGACTTCCCGCGGGCACAGATATGACCTTAAAATCGCTATAACTTTTTAAATTGGGCTATTTAGCAAAAATTGAAAGCGGGTTCGGAATCAGCAAAAAATTCTACACAAAAAAGGCTGGGTCCTATAACGAAACGCCACCTTGACCTTAGGTGGTTCCCTTGTAAGCTTAACTTGAGCTTTAAATTGCTTTAGGAGGCCAAATTGGGGTCATTTAGGGCTAAGCTTAGACTTCGTTTGTATGAAGCTAAGCCTAGGATGAGGCTTGGCTTAGCTTTTTTCAGAGACTTCGCGTTTAAAAAACGGCATTTGGAGCGTCTAGTAGCCAAAATCCGGACTGCCCCCCAGTGCATTAGCACCACGCTTTGTTTGTCCAAAACGCAATTTAACCGGTTTAAGCGATATCCAAGCTATGTTTTCGCAAACGGCTTTCAAAAACCTAGCGTTGGGCTGCCATGAAAGGCGCAAAGATTCTTAAAATGCGATTTTTGTAAAAAAACCCTTGGTCAGAAAAGTATCAGAAAATCCGCCCGTTTTGTAAAGACATTAGTAAATGGTAGAAAAATTTCAAAATTGTGAGGATCGGCGAGCCGTGCTGGACCCGCCTCTCCGAGAGCTTTCGTTGGATACCTAAACCGTAAAAAACGGGGAAGCCTGCGGCCGGCTAGGGAGGGGGGGGGGTGTTGGGGACACGCTGTACTCGTCTCTATAAGCAACGTTTCTGTTGCATGTTTACAAACCCGATTGTGCTTTCCAAAATAGCAAATCCTCAAATTAACTCGATTTTTCTGATTCATATGGATTTAAATAGTGCGGGCTGTGGCGAGAGTGTGTCTCTTGCCGTCTGGCGCTCTCCCCTGGCACCCACTATTCCATCAGTATGACTGGTAAGATGCGCATGAATTTCACAAAATTCCCGAAAAAATTCCGGCGGTTTTATCGTTTCCGGATTCCGGTGCCTTGACTTTACCGGATTCAAACATGCGGGAAACCCTCGCTATACCGTAGTCACCCCCGGGCGCGCATGCAATTCGCGTCAGGACGCGAGATTTCTGGTCAGCACATGGATTCTCTTTCGAAATTTTTGGACGAAATCGTAAACATCGGATTCGTTGAAGCTATTTTGATTACTGATAGCCCATCAGATACGATAGTTATCCCCACTTTTTGAGGGCTTATCCGGAAGTTATCGGCGGAAAGCGGGCGCTAGGAATCGGGGTTCGAAAGAGAGCCCAGACAGGGCAGAGATGCGCGAGACGCAGGCTTCGGCCCGCAGGCGTTCTCGCCGATCTATTGGGCAACACCACCCGGCTCGCCATACAGTTGCGCAGCGGCGATCCTGTTGCTGCCAGACCGGCTGCCTTATTAGCGCACTTGCATTAAGGGATGATCCGACCCGCTTTTCGGGCTTTTCGTTGTTGGATTTTCGAATAAAGCTCTGACTTTTGACTTTGATTACAATATGAAACGGTTCTTTCAAAGGGTTTCCAAAGATCAATGAATACTCTTCGATCTATCGCTGATCTTCTTGGGCTTCTATATGTCTTCCCGCTTTGATTTGAGTTTCTCGTATTTTACTGCTTTTTTTCAGTGTGCCCCTTGCGTTAGACAATTAACGCTGGCGCATGGAGAACGGCGGCGACCCGACACAGGACTTGCGGGGAGCTCCAGAAGAAGTGGTGGAGGTTTTTCTTGCTAACTCTTCACTGTGTTTCTTTTAGATGGACCTCAGTGAGCAAGACGATGAAATGTCGGACATTGTCTCCGATAAAGACGTCGAATCTATGGACACATTTGATCGGCTGCCTTCTGTACAAAGTAAACCTTCCACGTTGGCTCCAATTTTCTTTTAGACAACACGCAGTATTCCGCAGAAGAGGCCAATGATCCGGACGATCTTTATCGACCGGAAGGAATGCTAGAGCTAGAGATTGACAAATTCAGGTAGTGTTTCAGTCATTGGTTTTATCTCCAGTTTTAGCGAGTTCGCTCGTGGCCCTGCCGACGTTCAGCAGCGTCTCTCCAAGCCCGTCTTCGTGCGTGGCCTGCCCTGGAAAATTTTAGCTATCCCAAGGTTGGTGGAGACAGCGCTTACTAATAGGTTTGCACGTGTTACTGTTTTGCCAAGCAACCCTCTTTAGGGATCAAAATCGCTGCTCTGGCGCGCGCACCAACAAGGCCCTCGGGTTCTTCCTTCAGTGTAATGGTGATTCCGACATGGTCACCTGGAGTTGCATCGCGTCAGCTACGCTCAAGGTATAATCTTTTTTTGTTTTGAATATCCAATGCTCTAGGTGGTCAACCAAAATGGCGGAGAATCTCACCAGCGCCGCATCTCGCACACCTTCTACCCGAAGGAAAACGACTGGGGCTATTCTCAATTTCTGAGTTGCGATGTGGGTACAGTGGGCTTGTTCTTGAACTGCTTTTTTAGCAATTGCTGAACCCGGAAAGCGGCTACATCCGCAACGACATGATTCGATTGGAAGTTCTCGTCTCGGCCGATGCTCCTCATGGTGTTCAGTACGTTATTATAGTTTTTCGTGATGGTTTTGTCTAGGTGGGACTCGAAGAAGCATGCGGGTTACATCGGTCTCAAGAATCAGGGAGCAACCTGCTACATGAACTCATTGCTGCAGGCCTTCTACTTCACCAACCAGCTGAGAAAGGTTTGCTACAATTTCTGGATTTATATTGAGGGCATTGCAGGCCGTGTACGAAATGCCGACCGAGGAGGACGACTCTGAGTCATCGGTGGCCTTGGCCATGCAACGGGTGTTCTTCGACCTCCAGTATTCCGATAAGCCGGTATGCGAAATTCTCCCCGATTTTGTATGTTTCTTAGGTGGGCACGAAGAAGTTGACGAAAAGCTTCGGTTGGGACTCCCTCGACTCGTTTTTGCAACACGACGTCCAAGAATTGTGCCGCGTGTTGCTCGACAATCTGGAAAGCAAGATGAAGGGCACTACGGTATTTGAGTTTCGTTGTTTCATCTCTTTTTTTGCCTAGGTCGAGGACACGATCCCGCATCTTTTCAAAGGGAAGATGAAGTCCTTCATCCGTTGCCTGAACGTCGACTACGAGAGCTCTCACGCCGACGATTTTTACGATGTACAGCTGAACGTCAAGGGAAACAATAACAGTTAGTTGTAATTTCTGGCGTGAAAATGTGCTTTTTTTAGTCCTGGAGTCCTTCCGCGATTACGTCGCCCCTGAGCGGCTGGATGGCGAGAACAAGTATGATGCCGGAGATTACGGGTTGCAGCCAGCAGAGAAGGGTGTCAAATTCTTGAGGTATTTTCTTATTTTGAGTAAATTTATCTCTGGCTTCAGCTTTCCCCCGATATTGCATCTTCAATTGATGCGCTTCCAATATGATGCGGCCATGGATGCTAACGTCAAGATCAATGACAGGTAAATTTGGTGTTATTCGAAATATGATTTCCGTTTTCTAGGCTCGAGTTCCCGGAGCGCCTCGACCTCAACCCGTTCATCGAAGGCAAGGGCGAGGATGAAGACTACAACTACGTGCTACACGCCGTCCTGGTCCATTCTGGCGACTTCCACGGCGGGCACTACGTCGTCTTCATCAACACCAAGCTCAACCAGCAGCATTCTTGTGTCAGTTTCTTCTCTGAAGTTTTTATTTCTTCTTTTAGTGGTGCAAATTCGATGATGACGTCGTATCCCGTTCCTCATTCAAGGACGCTGTGACGGCGAACTATGGAGGCGAAGATCCGGAGACCCTCGGTCGGACGTATACCAACGCGTATATGCTTGTCTACATCCGGCAATCTTCCCTAGGTGAGGATTTGTGTTTTTTGGCCGGTTGGCGACATTCATGTTGACTTACGCTCAATTTTACATTTTTTTAGACAAAGTGCTGAGTCCGATCACCGATGATGACATCCCGCACCATCTGCGTCATCGCTTCGAGGTTGAGCGCAACGAGGAGGCCTATCGCAAGAAGGAGAAACAAGAAGCCCATCTTTACACGGATATCTTCGTAGGTTATTTATCGCTTGCGCATATCCGACTTTAGTTGATCCAAGAGGAAAAGTTCCAAAACCACCACGGTTTCGACCTTTTCGATGCCCGTATCGTGGATGAGGAATGCTCGCGGGAGCGCGTTCGCAAGAAGATGACCATCGACGAACTCTACATGTTCGTCGCTCAGCGATTGTTCGGCAATCAATTGTCTGCATTGGTATGGTATTGACCACATTTTGTACTGTTTCTTTTGAGCCTATGCGCAACGACTTCCGGCTGTGGTTGTTCTCCGATAACACGCATCGTGACGACCTGACTCATAGCAGCTCTTTGCCGCGCCTGCGTCCCACCCAGCTGATCTCGCGGGAAAAGAAGGTATTTCCTGGAGGCAAAACTAATTTTCCATTTGTTTTTTTAGTTTGTCGAGGATGCATTCGACAGTGACCGCAACCTCATCTTCGTCGAGACGGCCCCGCCATCTACACGAACCCTGAGGCCTTACGACGATAAAAGTGGCTTTTTATTTTGTTGCTAAACTTAGTATTTAGATGAGATGCTCATCTTCCTCAAGCTCTACCAGCCCCACCTTCGGACACTGACCTATGTGGGACATCTGATGATGAAGTACCGGGAGCCGCTCAGCCACTACCACCGCACCATTTGCGAGCTGACTTCATTGCCTCCTGATGCGAAGCTGTCTTACTATGAGGTTTGTTATTAACTTTTTGAAAAATTTGTTCGAAGGATGAATGTTATTTTAATCTTTTTTTTCCAGGAAATTGCTCCGGACCGAGTGCGAATGGTCACCGATCCGAATGCGCAAATGTGCACCGATGGCGTGATCACGGAGATTGTGGACGGCGTCATTCTCATCGTGCAAAACGATGCGGAAACGGACACCTACAATAGCCTGGCGGTAATTTGGCCTTTTACTGCTTACCCGGTTTTTAGATTCACACCTCCGAACTGTACAACAATATCGACATCGAGCTCGTGCAGAACATTGAGAACACGCAGTTTCTCTTCCAACAAATCGACATCACGCCGCCGATCCTCACGCAGATCCATTTGGTGGGTTTTCTCTCCCTGTTTCCATTCCATTTCCATTTCCGATTTGGTGGCTTATCTTGCAAAAATTTATTTTCAGAACTGGGGCGTCCCTGAGCTGTGTAATTTCATCGGAAAGAAGATCAACTTCGACCCGGAGCGCATCTTGCTATGGAAGATGTCCGCCTACAACGAGAAGCCGACAAATTTCCTCAACGACCAGCAGTACCGGAATTTCAAGGTTGAAAACTTTCGAATATAATTTTAGAATTATTTTTAGGTGAAAGATGTCCTCGGATTGAGTGGCGTCAACACACACGATCCACGGCGCCATAAAAGGTTTTTGATTTCTTCAAATTAAACTCTTATGCTTTAGGTATCGCCTCGTCTACACCAAGATGCCAGTTCCGGTCGCCGATCTCGAGAACCGGAAGCAGATGAAGATCCAGATGATGGATGAGAAGCTAAACGTCTCTGTGGGTTTTCTTGAAATTTGGAACTTTTTAATGTAATCGGGGAGCAAGTTTTTACTGATACCTTGTTTTAGGACATCACCCTGTTCCCGCCTCGCCATGGCACGGTCGGTGATCTGCTCGAGGAAGCCAAGCGCGAGTTCAAGTTTGCCGAGAATGGCACGGGGCAATTGCGGTAAGATTCTATAAACTTTTCGCAAACCCAAATTAGACTCGTCTACGTCGGCGTCTCACCGGCCACCACCCGCGTCTTCAACGTGCTGGAGAATTCACTGAAGATCAGCGACGTCTTGCAAAAGACGGTCAACTCTTCAATGCACACGGTAAGCCTTTTTTGGACTTCGCTAAATAGTCACAGCAGGCGCGAGTAGAGGAAATCCCGAAGGATCAGCTGCGGATCGGGGCCAACGAGCACCTGATGCCTGTTGCGCATTACGACAAGGAGCCGACGCGCATGTTTGGGGTGCCGTTCTTGTTCAAGGTACGTTAAGAATTTTCAGGACCGAGTTAACTTTTTTTTTAGGTGTCCGATCGCGAACCGTTGGCTACCGTTCACGAACGGCTACGGCAAGTGCTGGACGTGCCCGAGAAGGACTTTGAGAAGGTAACTACTCCTTATTTAAATTTTTATGAAACCTTTTTCAGTACAAATTCGCTCTGCTGCTCCAGAACAAGGTCATCCGCCATATCGATCTGAAGGAGGAGGGCAAATTCGTCAATCTCGCCGAGATGCGGGCGGTTCAGCCAAACAATGCGGTGAGTTCATTTCCGCCTTTCTCAGGAACTTTGTGTTTTTTTCAGTTGTCGGCGTTCGGATCGATGCCGCTGCTCGGGATCGACCATTTGAACAAGTCCCGCGGCGCCCGGTCTGGACACATCACCGAGAAGCCGATTATCATCCACAACTGAGGTGTGTTTCTTCATATCTGGTCTTGCATTTACTTAAGTAATTCTCAGGAATAACCAACCTTTTTTCAGCCTCATCCGGTTGCAACTTCTTCGCCCTGTGAACAATCCCAAATACGTGCCGCGCGCTGCCTTTCTCCATTTACGACCGTTCTTCACCCCTCTTTCCCCCAATTTTTCTCAAGGTCCCCCGGTGATTCTGGTGTGCTCCTATTGTCATTTCGGTGGCCCCTCCAATGATTGTTGCCACGGCGCCCCCCCTCACTTTTCGCTGTGTTTCTTGGACTGCTTCTACCGGTGTGGCAATTCATTAAAGTGATTGGGCGGTGGAGGAGCGATTTTTTTAGGAGTTTTTGGCCTATGTTAGGCCGGCATCAACATGTCACAGCCACCAGTCGCCGAAAATCCCCTGGTAATTCGATTCTCCTTTGCTCAGTATCTTTAAGCGATTTCTCTCAACTGCTCTCTCTACCCGGGCCCTCCTCCTCCCCCTCCTTTTCCCACTCTCTTCCCCCCTCATTGTAAATTCTGCTTATATGCTGTACATTCGTCGTGACAGTGATACCGACATTTATTCGCTCCCTTTTCACGCACCCCAAAAAATTTACCTGTTATTTATTAGGGGCCCCGGAGAGTATGTGGCTATGATCGGCGGTTGTTGCCCTCCTCCTCATGGCCCTTGCCGCCGCCCCCACCTTCGGGATCAGCGCTAACGGATAAGGTCGTCGCCATTTTTGGGCGTGTTCTAGTGTTCTGTTTCGGTTGTTATCAAAGAGATAGTAAACTCTCATACCATGAACATGTTGCCGTTGACATTGAAACAACCAGAATTTTTCATGGTGAGCAGTATGGGACTTTTGGGGCTGACTCATGTCCGCTTTATCTATCGGAGAAGAATATTCGCAAGCGCTATCCCGTGGCCCAAATAGTTCTTATATGACGCCTTCACCACCAAGCTAGTGTGTCGCTTCGCTTCTCCGACTGCAGTAAGGGTATTTGCCTTCCTTCCCCCTATAGATATAAACATCACCCACTGAATCTTTGCACGAGTGTGAACACGGCTTCTCGTCCCACCCCCTCACCCCTCACATTCAGTCATCATTTGTATTTGTTTCATCTGTGCGTGTGTGAGTGTTTCATAAAGTTTCCCCTTCCGTGGCTCATTCTTTAGTTGATTTTGCGAATTGTTTGTTGTTTTTCGGACCCCGCATCAGCTGCACCAATGATGGCCCTCCCCCTTTGTCTTTGGCTGTATTTTTGGGCGCTTATTCGACGGGCCGGAGAATAAATGATATTTTAACAGACCAAAATTTGATGGCGGCACCACGAGTCGTACAGTTCGAGCTCCTTTACCCATAGTAGGATAGTGTCGGGGGTAGCCTGGCAACCGCTATTCGGCCTCTGGATGTCTACACCTAAATCTAAGAGGGTGACGAGCTCTGTGCGCTGCCCCGTTCGCTGGTCCCTGCAGTTGCGTTCAATTGCCCCCACCTCGGGCTCCAAGTCTTCGTCATATCGTTTAAGCGATTTTTAGGTCGCGTTTCGTTTTACCTAGGATTTTTAGTCACTTTAGTCAAGGCTGTGTAGCCTGACAACTAGAATACTAAATCAAATAGCAGACAGCTATTTTCCCCATACCTTGGTCGCCCGAGGTATCGATTTTTGCAGCGTTTAAGCTTGCAAGCAACGTCGGCTTTCGTTGATGCGCGATCGGCTCAATACAAATTTGGTATAAGGCCGTCCACCTGCTGGTGTAGCCCGAGTTATCATATTTATCTAGCAAAAATCTGCGCGTTGTTGTCTTGGGCTGAGCGCAATTTTGTCATTCTTCCAAAAATGCCGCCATTCACCCCAAAACATGCTGGCGATAAATCAGTCACCAAGGAAGCTCCGGTCAGTGTTTTCGCGGATAGATTCATTGCTCAAATTTTATACGTTGATAGTTTTTCACAAGGGTTTTGAGCGTTGAGTTTTCTTTGAAATAATTCATTATTGTCGCATAGCTTTCCTGCCTTTACCTGAAATATATAACTTGAGATCTACATTATTTTTCAGAAGGATAAAATGATCTCCGAAGCGGGTTATATGGAGCTAATGAAAAACGGCTCAAGGTGGAATTCACGGGCGATCAATGAGAGAAAGGTTCGTACACCGAAATTAATAAGGCGTTACGTCTTCGGAATACGGAATTAGTTAATAGTTGTAACGATCCAATTATAGCGCCGTCTGCCGTTCTTTGATCAAGAGACTTCGAAAGCTCACGACGCCTGGGCCGGTCTACATCGAACTCCTTACCATCGATACCCTAGCGACAACCCTGAACATGTGAGTTCTGGACGTCCTTCGCTTTGAACCCTTTTTAGGTTATTCGCTACAAGCAGCTGCGCTGGAAGCAGAAGGCTTCCGCTCCTCCTTCGGACAAAGCCCTCTACGCCCTTTTTGTACGCCAAAATCCGGCGATTGCTGATGCAGCAGCCAAGCAAGGAAATTCCGAGCTTACCGGTAACATAATGCGGAGTACGACAAAACCTGGCTTAAGAGCTTGTTCCTGCTAACGACAACTCGATGGATGCTTTCGTGGCTCAAGAATTGGCCGGAATTCCGCCGCCTTCTGTTCCGACCGGAAAACGGAAATACGTGAGTTATACCTGTTTGATAATGTAAGAATATAACGTCCGGCCTATAAATGTTAACCCAATTTAGACGCGCCTCTGAAAATACCATTTTCAGAATTTTCAGGACGACTTCGTGGGCGAGGACGACGAGCTGTACAACTTTTCGGATAGCGGCTCGGACAATGAGGACTGGGCGGCCAAGCGTCGCGGCCGCAAGTCAAAGCCGTCGACGATGAAGGAAAAACGGAAGGTTGGCTCTCCTTTCTGCGAGGCCGCGCCGCGCTCAGAATTTTTTATTTTCAGCACTTTTCTCTTCTCTTGGCCCCACAGTTATTCTCGGTGTCACGCTCCTAGGAATGGCGCTCGCGCTACCGTATTTACCCTCCAGGGCCCGGGTTTTTGGGAAAATCTAGGCAGACTTTTGCCAAAGTTGCGGAAATACGGTACTTGCGTGGGCGCTGATTCTGACGACTCGCCAAAACAAAGACGATCTCTTTTCAAGTCGACCGCACCGCCAAAGCCACCGAGCGCGCAGCCAGGGAAAGACAGCGCGCCGACGCGCGCCCATCCGAAGCCCCCGTCCCCGGTCTCGGGACCGCATCATTGCGAGAGTGAGTGTTCTGGCCATCGCTCGAATCGTTTTCTTAAAGGGGGAGAGACACACCAATGCCCTCTCCTCTTCTCTCTCGCATCCTTTTTACGGTTTTTGGGATTTTTTGAAAAATTATGCCAAAATAAGCTAGCAACATTTTTAACGGATTTTTCAAAACTTTCCAAAAACCCGTAAACGCCGCCTTAACAAGTTTTGACTGAAAAATGGAGATAAGAGCATGTTTGCTTTCATCTAGGCTTTTCCAAGAAAAACATAAATTACGGCCGCTCACTTTAGTATATTTTTACTAGAGTTCGCGTTACGATACGGGGTTTTAAGCTAGTGAACTCAATTTTTGAGCTGGAAATTTAACCATTTTCATACCCGAAAATGCTTGCGTTTGCTGTGTGCATGTCTTTTGTAAAGTTTCGTTGCATCCGCTAACCAACCAACTGCACCCCGACTCTCCTCCGCACCCCGCTCCTCCTCCTCATCCTCGATGTCCCCCTGGTGGACTGGGCAGGCCGGCTTCATCCCCACCCTTTTCTTTTCGGCTATTTCTTCGCTTTCAGGGCAGGCTACAAGACCTTCGCATATTTTTTGTACTCGTTTTTAGAAAGTCTCTCCCGGTGTTTTCCCGTAGCTCACGATTAACCCAACTTCTCCCTACTGTTCTTATTTTGGTGTTGGGTTTGGGTTTACGACCTGGGGTATATATTTTAGTTTTATTCTAGCGTATTTACGTTTTAAAATAACATTAAGAAGGATCTGCGCAGGTCTGAGCGTTACAAAATATTGATGAGTCTTTAGAATAGCCTATAGGTCTGGTCGTGGCATGCGCTGTCGCTAAACATTTTATTGTTTGTTTTTAGTTTCTGATCGCTTGGTAGTTTATCAGTTTAGAAGTCGGAATCCGCTTTGCATCGAGTCATTAATGTTATATATTTTGTTGGTAGTTTCTCCAGTTATTTTGGATTCTAAACCTTGCAGCTCCTAATTTTCCCTCGCTACCCTAGATTCCACCTCAATACCCCCAAACTCCCAGACCTGCCCAGTTTCCCCCCACGGGGATGTGTGAAGAGGAGCGTGCGCGGGGCGGGTCGTCTCAATGGTCAAAAATTCTGATTTTTTGGCCAGAGCACTCAGTTGGGCCGGTTTTAATTTTGTGGTTTACGCGAAGGAGGCGTGACGGCTTTAAAAATGGCTCTTTTTTGTATTCTGGCTTTCTATCCGCCACGTCGCTTTCTAACACTGATAAAGATTTCATTTTGCTTTTCCAGTATGCCGGGCGCAGTACAAAAGCAAACCGGGTCTGATCCACCACCGCGCTTTCTGGCACGGACTCTTCCCGCCTCCAAATGCTCCACCACCAATGAAACGTGAGTTTTTCATTGTTTAGTCGCAAAATTGTATTGTTTTTAGTTTTCTCCCCCAACGTCGACGTCTCCACCGAATGCGATTTCTGCAACGGGGACCGCTTCAAGAACGGCGAGGGCAAGGCCGAGGAGCTGGTGTCGTGCCATGATTGTGGGCGTTCAGGTTGGAGCATCCTTTAATGGCTTTAAAATCTTGTTTAGGCCATCCAACGTGCCTGAAATTTACGAACAACATGCAAATGTCGACGACCAAATTTGGTTGGCAATGCATCGAGTGTAAGAGTTGCGCAATTTGCGGGACCTCGGAGAATGACGTGAGTTTCTATATTCATAAAAAGGTTATATATATTTTTAGGACAAGCTGCTGTTCTGTGACGATTGCGATCGCGGGTTCCATCTGTACTGCTTGCGGCCGCCTTTGGAGTCGGCACCGGAAGGGGAGTGGTCGTGCCATATGTGCCAACGAGCTTTCGGGCCAAGCGCCAGCGCTCCGGGAGCACCGCCAACAGGTTCGTCAGGTTTTAGAAACTGGTTGCCTTGCTTAGAGAGAAAATATCCTACTATATATATAAAAAATAGTGTCTGTGTGTGTGTGCCACTTTGCATCCACTTCCGTATCGTAGTGCCAGTAGTATCTCCCTAGGGGAAGAAGTTAGGGGTGGGTGCGATATGTCATTAGGTGCGTAATGGTCTAGGGATGACTGCCGACATATCAGATTTATAAAAATAGCCATTTTCTATATTAAATTTAAGTTTTTGTGAAACCCTCTTCGCTAGGAAAAATTAACATTGACCGGAACTGGGGAGTCGCCTATATAAAGGGTCACAAGCGAATAATTTTCATTTTTTGTCATCTGAATTCAGCAAAATTATGCAAAGCTTAGGACAGTGTGCGGTTCAAGACGGGGCCAGGGTTGAAAAGTCGCGAAGCGGCTTTTCAACCCTGGTAATGTAATAATATGCCTTTTTAGCCCCGGTCTTCTTCCCGCCGATGGGCATGCCGGGCGGTGTGCCAATGCCACCAATACAACCTGTGCCGCCTGCCCGAGCGCCGTCATCCGAGAAAACATCTAAGAAATAACCCGGAAACTACACTACGCTCCTCTACACATCTCACTTTCGTACCCTCATCCTTATCGAGATCGCTGACCTCAGTCTAACCCTTAATTTCACTTGCCCGTTCCTTGAAGCCCAGCCCCCCCTATCGGATTCTCATTCCTGAAGACTTGTCGACGTTTTTGTATATAATTCCCTCCCTAATATCATTTTCGTGGTGGCATTTTGGTGTCTGGAATCGAGTCTGTGGCCCGTCCTAATTTATGTACTCAAATTAGTTAGGCAGCCTAGACTTATTTGCTAGACCAAACTTTTAGCCGCCCCGGTTGTGTGTTCCCGAACGAATTTTTCAACATTTTACACAAGTAGAAATGCGGAAACTCCTTTCCGAACATTCCATTCTTTTAGAAAACCCCATCCCGTCTGTATTACGTATTTTGTAGTCATGGTTGTGTATTTTCGTGTGCGCTACAATGAAAATATCATGGAATTTATCCAATACTCAAAATCACAACCGTTTTATTGAGTCAAAAAATAAAAACGAGAAACTCGTTAATGCCGTGCGACAAAAAAAACTTTTTGATTTGCTATAAACTCTCTGTTCCTTCAAAAAAGGGTTAGAAAAGTGAATTAAAAGCTGAAAACAAATTATGCACATATGCACCAAGAGGATGTGATTTCTGAGATACAAGCGTCGAACCGGTTTAGAAGGATGAAAGAGGCTTGGTGGAAAGCGCAAAAAAAAGTATTTACAAGATGAGAATACATAAACTGACGTAAAACTCCTAGTCAGGCCAAAAGCACCTTTATAGCAGCATTTTGCGATCGGCAAAGATGAATTCGCGAACGTTGTGTGAACATCCTTTTCTGAAAATGCTATCTTAAGTTGATGCTTTTTCTTTACTCACGAAAATGGCGTTTTTATGTGAAGTTTAGTGGACCCGTAGCCGATATGGGGGTACCGTTCGATGTTTAGCCTAGACATTTTAATGGCATGACTCCATTTTTAGATACCTTTCATTGGTGGTAACGTTAAATGTGATCTGATAGAGTTGAAGCACCAGCATCGCGCCTAAAATGTTGTAAGTTTAAGTTGTAAGATTATTAAAGGCTAGGTTTTTTTAAAGTACACCTACCAATCCACAAAAACACGCAAACCGAGATGATTAGCGTGAAGGCGAGCCACTCATTGCACTCGAGGATATCTTCGAAGGTTGCGCCACAGTATTCTTGGAAGTCTGAGATTTTGAATATATTTCCTCAATGCTCTCTGCTAGCTTACAGTTAATTGAAGAATATGCAAAGAGTCCGGTGGCAGCGACTAATAGGGAAAGATAGGCGAGGAAGGAACGGTGATTCTCCCTGGCGATACAGTTCGACACCCACGGGCAGTGATGGTCGAACCTGGAAGATAATCGTATAAGGTTTTTTACAGATATCAAGATGATATAAAATATATTTTCATATTAAAATATTTCTGGATTACCTGAGAACACAACGATCACAGCGGGCGCAATGTTTGCTTCGCGGCGGTCGGAAAATCAAGCAGGTTGGGCAAAATACGCCATTCCCGAGGTCGGGAAGACCTTCGGCTACCCGTGTAATCGCAACACATCTAGAGAGAGTAGCGTAAAGGGGTCTCATAGTCATAAAAAACCGCTATTTGAACTTTTGTTTGAAGTGATTATACTTACGTTAGTGCCATACTTCTAATTTTTCTCCTAGTTCTAAATTAATTTAGCACTTAGAAACGTTTACAATTAATTTCACAAAATACGCTAACCCTAGTACAAAAATGAACAAGAGCCGATTAGACGGGTGTGCCGAGGTGTCAATCAGCCGCCTCCGCGACGCCCCCAACCGTCATATACCCATCCCGCGTGCCTCCCGGCATGGCCGCGTGGCGCAATGGATAACGCGTCTGCCTACGGAGCAGAAGATTGAAGGTTCGAATCCTTCCGTGGTCGAGACCTTTTGCTTTTTGGAATGTTTTGAGGAATACAGCACCTGATTGGTTTGCAAAGCGGATTTACCAACCTTTGCTTATAATTCGGTTGCACAAAACCCGGATCCGAATAGCACAGCGACATAAAAACGAACGGCACCACAAAGATGATGACGGTGAATGCAATTTGGAGGTACCTAGAAGGATGGATTCAATTTTATAATCACTTCATACCAAGATGAGATGGCCTGGAGGTAGAAGAACCACGTGAGTATTATTGTCACTTTCGTTGATAATGCAACGCTCACTGGCAAGACGTTATTGAAGTAGTCGGACGAGAATTTACTAAAAAGAATTTTGCCTGAAAGCGTTGAGATTTTTGGCTTACGGTAAGCACATTTTCATGAGCAAGGCAAATGCTACGACAGCCATTAGCTTCATAGAGGATTCGACCTCGAGGTGGGCAATAACGGCGAGAATTGAATAGATCAAAAAGGGTAAAATGCAGAGGGCTCTTTGCGCAGTTACCTAAACCAATTGATTCTTAATAATTTGTAGTTTCCAGGACGACCAAGACGTTTTGAGGTAAAACTAAACCCACTGGATGCTCTGATAATCTCTGCTTAAAAGTAGATGATATTAGTCCGCGCCTTCTCGCATCTCTTTGCAACAACTTCAGCGTGGTCAGGTCGCCTCGGCGGTCAGCCAAATTGAGCGGGGTATCATTTTCTCGGTTTGTAAGTGATTGATCGGCTCCGGCTGAAATGGACCCAATTTTATCATTTTTGTAAAAAAATTGGAATTCCATTTTTCTTTCAGATCGTTGATGCTACGATCTATAGCGATCCGCCCGGAAGTTTACCTTTCAATAACAACCCGACAGCCGTTGAATTGCCCTGCATCGCGGCCCAGTGCAGTGCCGTGTTATTAAAAGTGAGATCGGCACGGTCGACGTCGGCTCCCATTGTGAGCAGCAGCTTTAGTGGATCGGCTTGATGGATCTGGAAATATTCCAGATAAAGAGTATATGTCACTCCTCCAATGAGTGACCGTGCCCTGGGGTCGTAACAGGTCCCTGGGGAGGACCGGCGCCCGTATAAAAGGGGCCACTAGGGCCCCCAGCTTCACTTCACTCTACTACCCTTCCCCTTACCTTGAGCTCGCTTGGTTGCTGCGCCTTTTCTTAGGACAGCCACCTAGAGCTCGAGGCTTGAAGGTTGTATCAGTGTATTCCGCTAGTAAATCCTAAGTGATTATACCGTAGCCTTGCACCCTACGCTTAAAGTACATCCAAATCCACTGAACAGTTAAACCGACTCTAATACAGGTGCAACATTTGGTGCGTCGGCCAACTTAAGGCCCGGGGCATTCCCTACATTTATACTCTCTCCTACTTTCTATATTTAGTCCGCATTCCTTTCCTATTTAAGTTAAAAAGACACCACCAACATTTGTCAACCGGCCAATTTTAAGGCCCAGTGCAGTCACTGATCATCCCCTTTAGCCAAATTTGTGCCCTTCTAGCCCCATTCTACCACCATTCGGCGTTTACGTTTTTGGAAACGGTTTTCGCGCTATTCTAAGATTGTTGTTTCCTCGTTGGCATCCACATCGCGAGATAGGCAAAATTGAAGACGGAGGATTTCCCGAACCTCTCCGGCGCCCGCAATTTGCCATTGCGAGTGCTTCCTCAGTCATAATCATTACAGTTCTTTCCATTCGCTTGCCGTGCTTTGAAGTTAGCACTAGTTTCGAAACCTCGGCTCTTGCGTAACTGCACCGTGGGCAAGCCACTTTCGTCATAGACCGGCTTCTAGAAGCCAGCTTAAGCGCCCATCATTCATATTTCGCAACAGGGGCTCCGGCGGCGCGCCTTGGCCCGCTCATTAATCATCCAGCCCTGCAGCGCCACTTCCTAATTTAAATCTGATTTTTTTTTCTTGTTTTCTCTTTCTGAATAAGTGCTCTCCGACCTCTTCCAAAGGTCAATTTCCATCCTGGGCTTGGTAAACCCCAGAGTTCCTCGTAAGGTGGTTAGTCTTCGGTGCATGCCCATCTGTAACTGGGGCCCAGCTACTAACGCCAATTACTAACCCATCCTCCTAGACTCTATCACCTTTTTCGATTGGTTCAGCCCATCCCATTTCTATCTCGCCCATCTCCCGAGCGTACGCAGGAACGACGGCGGATCTATCATTCACGAAAAATCCCTTACGAAAAATGAAGTCTTCGGCAGACGCGACGAGCCACTACACGAAACTCAAAATGGGACTCCTGCGAGCCGTGGGCGATCTAAGCGAGAAGCGTAGCGATGTTCTCGAAGGATACGATGTCGCGCAGGCGACACCCCTTCCAGCACCAATCATCAGAAATGCTCAGGAGAAAGAAGCCATGGAAGTCGCACTGCAGGCCCAAATGGCAAAGTCTGATCAACTGCTCGACACAATCAAGGCCTATGAAGCAGCTTATGGAGAGATCATCGACTACGTCAAAAGCGGAAACGACGAGGGCATGACGCAGGAAATCGAGGAGCTGAAGGATGTTCATCAGTTGGACGATGAGTACGAACAGACCGTATTATGCTGGCGAAAGCTGGACGACGTCACATACGAACAGAGAGCTGCCATTGAGATGTATGATCTTCGGACAAACGAACGTGCTACTAAATCCGAACAACGGAACATCAGAGCCCTGTCCAATAGGACTGCCCATCCATCTTCTCAGCCGTGCCTGCAGCCGATCATCCAAACCGTGATTCTGGGACCAAACCCTTTTCAATCCCATCCAGATATGAGCGCAACTGACATAAGTTCCGATGACAACTCAAGTTATGAAGAAGAAGCGGATTCCAAATCTACGTTTACTTCCGAGGATGACGGAGATCTTTCGGAAAGCGAGTATCCCGATGCCACGACTTCCGCCATTAATAGCTGGGACACCGATCCCTCGGACGCCACCTACTCAGCGACTTCGGATGAAGATGACGCAAATTCGCAGACGCAGACCTTCATCCTTCATGTCTCTGCCATGCCGATTGCATAACCCTCGTCTTCCGCAAAATTCTTGATCGCTTAACCGTCGATTTGCAGAGCAACTTCGTGCTCGCCTACCAACCCATGCCCGCTTACAACTGTCGCATACACCTACAACCAGAATCCGTCGTCGCGAACCAGAAACCAGCCCCTTGCTCTCAATGATGCTTCCTCTCCTTGGTACTAACCTATTCTTCCATCAACGGCCCTACTAACTCAACGCAACTATTAGCACGGATTGGAACCAGGCTAGGTTCGCTGGATTTCCCCCCATTTGTTATCGTTAGTGCTGCTTCCCAATCCGTGCGCTTCAACTTTTCCCTTCCCATCTTCTTTTAAAATAACCCAATTTCCCCATATTCATCCACTTGTTTTTTTTGGCCCCCGGGAGTGTCACTCCTCCAATGAGTGACCGTGCCCTGGGGTCGTAACAGGTCCCTGGGGAGGACCGGCGCCCGTATAAAAGGGGCCACTAGGGCCCCCAGCTTCACTTCACTCTACTACCCTTCCCCTTACCTTGAGCTCGCTTGGTTGCTGCGCCTTTTCTTAGGACAGCCACCTAGAGCTCGAGGCTTGAAGGTTGTATCAGTGTATTCCGCTAGTAAATCCTAAGTGATTATACCGTAGCCTTGCACCCTACGCTTAAAGTACATCCAAATCCACTGAACAGTTAAACCGACTCTAATACAGGTGCAACAGTATAGTTCCGGAATTTACGGAAGCTTCGAAGCCTGGCTACCCACTTTATAGGCTGTCCACATTACTGGCGTCATTCTCGAGACGTCCGGGCAATCGACCGATTGGCCGATAGCGACTAGATACGCGACAACTGGCGTGCAGCCGAATTGGGCGGCCACGTGCAGCGCGGTGAAGCCTGAAAAAATTCAGGGCGCCTTAGTCGATGCATTTGCAGCCACCTTCGACATCTCGAATTAGTAAATCGGCCCCATTCCTTGCTAAGAGGGCCACAATTTTGACATGTCCCTGGCGAGCAGCCCAGTGTAGTGGAGTGGACGATAGGATACCACCAACAGCATTAACTTTACAGCCTCTTGAGATCAGGAATTCGGCTGCCTAAAGGGATGGTGAAATTGCGGATCTCTCTCTCCCTCCCTCTCTCTCTCTCTCTCTCTCTCTCTCTCTCTCTCTCACCTCATATCTATTATTGATAGCTGCCCAATGTAATAAAGAGCATTCATCGGCGTCTGTCCAGGTTGGCGAGACGGTACCTTAAATTTTTTCATCTTTAACAGCGCGATAACTCCTTTTTAAAATTCTTAATTTCTGGTTTGTATATCGTTTCTTTAAATAGTCTCCTTCCCGCCAAAGTTACCACGTGTTGCGGGGGTTTTTCGCGAGGTTGTGAAAGGGAAATTTTGGGGAGAAATGGGGGGCGGGGGGGGGCAGTGAGAGGGATATTTCTCTGGAAAATTCGCCTGCCGTGTCCCAAGGTCACGCAAGGTCATTTCGGCCTTATTGGGATGCTGAATCTTTGAAAAAATGGACAGCTTTTTGAAGGGTGTGTTAGGAAAATTATTACAGAATCGCCTAGATAATGTTTTCCCTTTTTTAAGTGAAAACATTTTCTAGGCGGGTGAGTTTTTTTCCAACTCCAAAGGCTCTCTTACTAATCTTTTTAAAATCCTTAGTACGAAAAAAATGAAGATGTGGCATGTGAAAATACCTGAATCCAATAAATGCACTAGCAGCGGCAGATTCCCATATTGGGCCGCTTCACGGGCATCCATAACAATCGAAAATACAGCACTACAGGTCGATTATCCGGGGCCGCGGCTGGGGCATCTGAAAAATGAGGGCTACCACCTTGCCACCGGAAAACACGGTAAGGGTGAGAGGCCAGGTCGAGAAATAGAAAACAGAACCCGAGACGGGGTGGGGCCTTTACGGACCATTGGCAGATGGGGGCAGATCGGAAACGAGATAACTGTTTTCCCTTCAGTGGTTCTTTAAAGGGAGAGGAAATAGGGACAATGAACCCTCGAAAAGGGCATGGACAAGGGTCACGCTATCCTTGAGGAAAATATGGCAATGTCATGCAGTAACGAGCATCAAATAAACGGAAACGGGCTAGAAAGCGTGAAATAAGCAGTAAATCCTTCAGAAGATCTCAAAATAACCTCGAAAACACCTACATCTAAAAAAGATCAAACAAACCCCGAAAATGCAAAAAGTTTCGACCACGGAAGGATTCGAACCTTCAATCTTCTGCTCCGTAGGCAGACGCGTTATCCATTGCGCCACGCGGCCATGTCGATCGCTCTCCCGGGGACGCCTATGACCCAGCAGGTGCTAGGATTGACAGCTGCCCACCTCGTCGCCAACCAAATCTGCCACTAGCAATCATTGCCTATTCGGGCAATACAAGATAAACCGCTCCCTATCGTCCCTTTCGACCTGGCCGCGTGGCGCAATGGATAACGCGTCTGCCTACGGAGCAGAAGATTGAAGGTTCGAATCCTTCCGTGGTCGAAACTTTTTGCATTTTCGGGGAATGACGGCGGGTACTATAGTTTTGGCCGAGGTGTTAACGGGGATCCGGTTTTCGACTTTAGAAATTGTTTACGGGTGACCGTACTGCGGTGAGCGATTTGCTGGGCGGAGAGCCGATCTAGCAATTTAAAGGGGGAGGAGGCGGAGGGTGGAAAATATTTGCCTTTGCTGAACGCCGCGCGCCGGACAACAATTTATGCTAAAAAATTTTTGAGCGGAAGTGTACAAGGTGACTAAAGGTATAAGTTCAGAAATCGAGGAAAGGAAGGTGGCACCGATTTTTGTTTGTTTTGTTCCGGGGAAAGGCGAGGAAAAGTGGGGGGAAGGGCAAATAATGGGGGTTTGGAACGGCAGAAATATGTGATGGTTGAGATCTGGCTGGAGACGAAAAGTAAACCGTCAATTGATTGTGGAAATGAAAAATATCAGCGAAGGGGACCACGTGGGGGTGGGGGAAGGGATCGGTGAAACAGCTGACAAGGCAGAAAAGCTGGGGGAATTCGAGGGCGAAAATGGCTATTCTTTTTTTCTGGCTACCAGACAGATAAGAGATGGAGGCGGATGTATGTTTTTTAATGCTTAAACTTTTTGTTTGCCTTAGGCTTATGCTTTATGCTAGGCTTAGGTTCAGGCATTAGGATTTGGCAGGCTTAGGCTTATGGTAGGCTTAGGATTTGCTTAGGCTTCGGCTTAGGTTTAGGTAAGCCTAATCACAATGCATTCCGAAAAATGCGGCAGAAGTCCCACCGACCCCCTCTACGAACCCAACACAAACAATGGGCCCCCAGCTGACTGGCTGTTTGGATAAACATTTATCTACGGCATCGACTGCCAAAAGGTGCACCTCATCCCGGCACTCCGTTTTACAACAAAAGCCGTCCGCGGTGACAGCCCGGATTGGCCAAAAAGATTTATTATCGCCTGGCGGTGGTGGCCTTTGGTTTACAAGTGACAGCCGCCGGCTGTGTGTCGACGCACACGCAAAAACTCAATTAGCATAGATTTCTGGGCTTTATAGGGCCCGCTGTCTTAAATGTTGTAATGTTATCGTGAGATAACCGTTAGGAAAGCCACAGAATTACAGAAATAATTTCAGAAAAGCTCAAGTAATTCTGATCGCAAAAACCAACAATTTCAATTTCCCGCCGGACGAGAACCCGTGGAGAATTAAAGGGAAACCCTGGCAGGCGAGTGTATTTTTTTCGCGCGTGAAAGATGCGGCCAGTCAGCTGGCAGTATTCCCCGAAAAAAACGAGCAGGGAGGGGGAGAGTCTGGGAAATGGGGGGAGTGGCAGGCAGAGAGGGCCGCTGCTGGGCCCTCATGCGTCGCGGCTGATACCTCTTTCTCCACCCCTACTATTCTTTATTCCACCCAGCTGGGCCACCCCCGAAAATTGGCACCCCGTGTGCGCTACCGGATGTGGAATGGGCAAAGAGTGTGGGATGGTGGAGAGGGGAGGGAGGGAGAGGAGGAGAGGGGGTAAAAAGAGTATGTTGGTCCTTAAAGGAGAGTTAAATACAGTATCACTTATGAACTTTTTTTTCTTTGTCTTGTTGGTTCCTTTAAAATATCTAGTGAAACGCTGAGAGAGTGAGTGAGAGAGAGACAGAAAGGGAAGAGAGAGAGAGAGCGCGTGAAAGAGAGAAAGCGCGCGAGAGAGGGAGAGAGAAATGTGGGAGGGTGGATACCCGTAGCTAGACGAACTGACAAAAGAAGGTGTCGCTGTCACTAAAAAAAATGCATTATAGAGCGAGCGAGAGAGAGATAGGGAGAGCGAGAAAGAGAGAGAGAGAGAGCGAGAGAGAGAGCGAGAGAGAAATGTGAGAGGGTGGATACCCGTAGCTAGACGAACTGACAAAAGAAGGCCTCCCTGTCACTTTAAAAAAAATTTGCATCATAGAGCGAGCGAGAGCGAGATAGGTAAAGCGAGAAAGAGAGAGAGATACAGAGAGAGAGAGAGAGAGAGAGAGAGAGAGATAACGCTAGAGATAGCGATCGAGAGATAGTGTGTGAGAGAAAAAGGGAAAGGGAGACATCACACCTATAGAGAGATCCTATACACAAAGGTAGATAGCGGGCGAGAGCAAGAGCACCCAGCTGCGGCGGCATCGGGTCACTTCAAAGGCTTGGCGAGAGAGCGTATTAGGAGAGGAGAGTGGAGACGACAGAGCGGGGTTTGGGATGACCCCAGCCGTTGGAGACCAAGCCACCGGCTAGTGACGCCCTCAGAAAGCCAGCCATCCCAGAATGGCGCTCCTAACCCCCCACCACGCCCTATTGCCTCCCTGCTTTTTGAAAACAATGGGCTGGTTTTTCTAGAAGTTGGTATTACGAAAATTATATTTAATTTAATTTTGACGATTTTCGAAATCTTGTTTCCGATTATGTTTGAAATATCGACATCAAGCTAGCATAGTTTTGAAGCTTTTTTGCGTTCCTAAGCTTGGGATTCCTAAGAAAATTGGATGCGAGAATCGGCAACCCAGTTCTTTTTTGACCAATTTACTTCGTTAGCTCGAATCTATGCTGTAATTAATTGCGCTACGTAACAAAACGCTCGAGTTTATTACTTTTCCAGCCATTTAAATATCTTATTAAAAGTTTTCTAGAGTTTTCATCCAATCCAATCCACTTTAACTGCGACCTACTTTCGACCCAATGCTCCTCGTAAAGCGGGATTTAACTCCCCGATCCAACTTTTTCTAAGGTAATAACTCACTATTCCGCTCCCCACCCTAGTTTTTACTCCAATTTTTAGTTTGGGCACTTTGCCAAGCACCCCATTTCAAGTGGCCATGAAGAAATGTGGGAGGATTGGTGGCGGAGGCTGCGTGGGATGGATGGATGCATAGGCTCCGGCTCTTTGAATCCCTAATGCGCTTTACAACCACCCCCCTCTAGTCAGGCACCAAAGCCACCGAGCACCACCGATTGTACCACCTTCAGGGCCGCCGTCGTAAAAAAAATCCGGTCCGGCTAATTTTCGTGCTTTGAGCTGTTTTAAAGGGATCCGGAAGGCAAGGATTGAACCTGCAAAATAGCAAATGTTGAAAATCGGATTGTTTTTTCTTCCTAGCGCCCTTAAAGCGTTGCAAGGCTCAATCTTCATGTCCTTAAGCTTTGATGGGCGATGGAATGAGGCAGCGTAACCTAGTCCAGGTCTAAGCCTAAGCCTAAGCCAAACCCTAAGTCTAACAAGACCCGACCCCTGCTCAAAAATCTGATTTTCCCCCTACCATCTGTCCCTCTCTGTCCCGATTGGCCTATCCACCAACACAATAGCAATCCAATCCACCCCCATCCACTGTCAACTCATATTCCCATCTCGTGAGTTACCCCCCAAATGGTGCCCCCAGGTCATCCTACCCAGGGGGAATTGGCAATTACGTGGCGGCGGTGAGCGTTTGTGTATATGGTGTAGACTAACTCTGCTTCTCTGCCCCCTCTATTGATGCCCGCTCTCTCGCCCCGGGGGGTCTGATTCATAATCCCGTCGCCCCAGGGTACGAATGAGGGGTTGAATGGTGCTTCGGGAGGGGTTTTAGAGCCCCGGGGGTATGCATTGGAGGATTTGAAGGAATTTTGGAGAAATTTTGGAATATTTCTGATATTTTTCGATGCACGACTTTGTTACCGTTGGCTTGCGCTTACCTGTTAGCTTTTTATTTACCTTATGCTTGGGCTGCGGTTTAAGCTCTAACCTTGGGCTTTCATTAGGCTGTGGCTTACGCATCGGCCTCGGCTCAGGTGAGGCTTGGCCCAGGTTTAGCCTTGGGCTTAGATTAGGCTGAGGCTTAAGCTTCGGCTCCAACTCAGCTTGGGCTTAGGCTTAGGGTTAGCTAATGCTTAGCTTAGTTTGTGCTTAGACTAGGCTTAACTTGGGCTTAGGTCTAGGCTTAGGCTTAGACATAGGCTTGGGCTCCGTATTCTTTCGTACCCAAAATCCTCGAATTTTCAGCTATTCACCGGCCCTCTCCACGATCCCATCCCACCTCATAATTTCCTCCGAAAATTGTGCGTGAATGGTGCGCGCGGGAGGGTAGGCCAGCTGCACCACCGGCGAACCCAGGATTCGCAAACCAAATACTACCCCCCTGAAGAAGGGCGGAAAGAAAAGGAGGATTGACGCGGGGTTCGGCGCCACCTGGTCATCCCTCATAGCAGCGTTCCGTTTCCTTACTCCATTGATTATTTTTGGCTTACAAGATTTTTATGCTGATTTTTTTCCGCATCGGG